TGGGCCCCCTGATTTTCCTAGAGTCATTCATGGGAAATGATGGGGGCAGTGGCTGGAGGCCCTCACTTTGCTTTGAAGTGACCCTTGGTGCCAGTGAGATTGGTTTTGTTTAGTTGTTTCAATGGAAGAGGTAGGGCCCCTCGGCAGGCACCCAGAAAGATGCCTGGGGGCACACTGGTACCCCTGGGCACAACATTGCCTATCCCTAACCTGAACCAACTAACATCTCTTCTTTCCAGTGGATAAAGTTGGGCTTGGGTGAGGGAGATTTGGGTTCAAGTTACACCCTTGACTAAGTCTGACTTTTTAAGCTTGCAGTCCAGTCTTGCACTTGCTTTCTCAGATGCAAGTCTGATGGCGCTCAGTGGCGCTTACTCATAAGTGTATTTGGGCTTGTGGATTTAGTCCTTTAGCTAATGCATACAGATTGAATGACCAGGCTTATGAGATGGTTGTGAAAAGAAACACGAGGGCTATCGTGAATGTGGCAGCCCTGGCCATTGACCATGCTAGCTGACAATTATGGGATTTATTATCCAACAAATCTGGATGTCATCCAGTGGTGAAGGTGTGATTAATTTAAAAATATGGGTATTTATCACCGATGTGTTAAAATTCCACTCAAGAGATTCTTCTCTACAAATGTTTTGGAAGAGTCTGATGTTGCTCTGCACACTGCATCGAATTTGTAATGATGTAGGCCTGCTTCTTTCACTTGCTTCTCACAGTTGCCTTCAAAATAAACATATTTTTATTTTGTTTCCTCAGTTGGCAAGATATTGTTGTGGGAGCACCACAATATTTTGACAGAGATGGAGAAATTGGTGGGGCTGTGTATGTTTACATTAATCAGGAAGGCAAATGGGAAGGGGTAAAGCCAGTTCGGCTCACTGGACCAGCAAACTCAATGTTTGGAATTGCCATTGAAAACATCGGGGATGTTAACCAAGATGGCTTCCAAGGTGAGTGGGAACTGGCTCTTCCTACAGCGTGCTCCCTAGTACTGAGGGAGCATTCCATGATTTTGTGTGGAATTTCTACATTCAAAGTTGCTGAATTTAGCCATAAACTAATCTCCATGAATCCAGCAAATTGTGTTTTTCATTCATTATTTGTGTATTTACTATTTTATTGGTACCTTCCTTTTCTCTAAAGTACTCAAGGTTACTAATAATAGTCTAAGAAAAGTGCAGTGAAATACAATAAAATGATTTCAATGTCTAGCACTCTAGGAGGTTTTTTTGAAACTTGAGTTTAGTGTTGCAAAATTTGCACTTGGCAAAACATGCATTCATTTCCATGCTTGCAAATGATGCATTGTGGGGTTTTTTGCAACTTCACATTTAATTTGATTTCATTTTTTTACATTTCTATTCTACTCTATCAATTTCTAATGATTCAAGGAGTACGCCTCTGGCCCCTGGGCAGTGTCTGAAGGGCCATAAGGTATTTCAGGTTCCCAGCTCTGCGGCTGAAGACGCGCTTTCACTGGAGAGCTGGCAACTGCAGCTCCCGCACTCCTGCCTCTTGCAGCCAGCATGGAAGAGCCGCACTGGCAGCCTTTCGGTGGTTGGGAACACAACCTTGGAGAGGGATAAAAGGAGGTGTTTCGGTAGGGAGTGAGGAGAGGAGACTTGAGAGGCTGGGATATGCACTGCTACTGTGGGGCCGCTCCAGACTTCTTCCTCCCATTCCAAAACTGGAAAGGCAAAAAAGTCTGCCCAGCAAAAAAAAAAAAAAAAAAAAAAAGGAAGAGAGACCAGGGTGGGTGACACTGTCCTCTGTCACTCCTCTTGCCCTGTTTGGGATCTTCATAAGGAGAACATCCTTCTGAGTGCCAGACCTTAAGTTGACTAAGGTAGCCACCCACAGTATTGTGCCTTAAGCCTTAAACATACAAACTATAAAACCAATGTGCAAAAATGCAGCTATTTAAACGTTGCCAGCACTGAATCCCAGGACCCATTGAAAGCTCTGTCATGCCTCGGGGCAGAGGCAAGTCAGCCTGGTGCCAGAAAGAAGGCCACGCTGGCATCGTTCTTGAGGTTTGGTTTCCACAAGTTCCATTTGCACTGCCTTCTTTGAACTGTTTGCCTAGCTTTTGAAAATAGTAGATTCACTTTGAATGCTCTATGCTCTTCCCTTTTTTCCCTTTAAAAACAACAGATATTGCTGTGGGAGCTCCATATGACGGAGATTTTGGCAAAGTTTACATCTATCATGGCTCAAAGGATGGCATCAACATGAACGCATCGCAGGTACTAACTTGCTCTTGCCACTTCTACCGTTACTGGAGATGATGTATTCCTGGGTGCCCTGCTTTGCCTGAACTGCTCATTTCTCCGAGCACTCAGCACATTCCCTCTCTCACCTGTGCGTGCTGCTCTGATCAGTGCCCCATCCCTTTCATGCTCCAGGAAATCGCCTAGCCAGCGTCTCCTGGGCACTGGCCTCCACCCCTGCTCCTGATTTTCAGTGCATCCAGATGTCCTCCCCCCTCTACCCAAACGTGGTCCATTGAACACGCCACTCATCATGCTGTCTGCCGCCCTCTTCCAGCCAACGTGGCCGTGTGAGAGGCGCCGCGCATGCAGTCCGCGTCTCTCTGTAAGCAGGAGTCTCTGCCTGTGATTGCCGTGCTCATGGAGCCATATATACGTAGACCAGCTTCCGTGATTAATAGGCACGATCCTGCTCTCCTCTCAAGCTTTCATCAAGTGCAAGCTCATATATGCATTGTTCAGAAGAGCTAGACTACAGTTCCCATTGCCCCTGGGCCAGCATGCCCTACATGTCTTAAGGTGGTCAGATTGAGCGAGGAGAAAACAAAAAAAAGAACCTTGTATTCTGGTATTATTTAGAGATTTCAGTGGTGACAAGCAAGCGAACGGTAGTCTTTAGATTCACTGAGCTGCTACTTTCCCAAAAGCTACCTTTAATGATCACATGCTTGGACTACTTACCTGGAAGTAAGGCCTATTGAATTCAGTGGAACTTACTTCTGAGTAGGCATATATAGATTTTCCCACTTAAGTCTACTGACTTCAACATAATGCAAACATAGTGCGTTTTATGAGTGTGCAAGATCCAATCATGCTTTCCCCCCCTCTCTCCCTGAAGATTTGCATTTCTCTTGTCTATGGAATCACATTATTTCTGGTAAAATGAGCTTCTCATAAACGAAACTGTGATTTTCTTTTTTTTTGTTCATCTTTAACTGCGGTCGATTCTTCCATTTTTCTTTATCAGCGGGATGCAGGCAGGAAACTTGGGGAGGGGGAAGAATTGGCTGTCTGTTCCAAGCATTCACCAATAAACTCTTCCCTCTGTAAGGGCACAATCCTATGTACGTCTAGCCAAAAAAGGCACATCCTACAAGTTGCTGGCCAGGGAGTGCTGGCAGTTGTGGGGACTTGTTCTTTCGGAACAGTCAGAGTGCACCCTAAATCAGTCATTCTTCCAGAGGTCGGCCTGCAGAGATGCTTGGCCCATTGTCTTTGGTGGGAAGCGTGTGCATTGTCTCCATAGCATTTATGTCAGAACTGACCTCGGGGCAACCTGGGATAGGCCAGGAGCCGCTGGACAAGCCGGCAGGCAGAATCAAGGAATGTCAGAACTGGGAAGCAAAACAGGAGGTAGGACCAGTGCCATCTCTAGGTTTCAGAGGGCCCTTGGGAAAGAGCTTCCTCTGCCCCGGTGGGGGCCTTCTTCAGGAAGCCTTCCTCCCCACTTCCCCTTGTCTTGGCTGCTCTCACTCTCCATCTTCTTTCTCGCCATAGCTCCTGTTCGACTGCCTGACAAAGAGCCTGCAGAAAAGCAGGCACATGTGCTTTGGTTCCTTCTGAACAGCAGAGTGAGAGGCAGGTGAACTGGCTCTGCCGTGAGGAAGGGGAGCAGCAGCCTAAGGGGCTCTTTTCAGCTGGCCTTTGCTGGAGTTCAGGGCCATGAGTGCTCCCCAACCAGGCCTACCTTTGGCATTAACCCTCGGTAGCTTAAGAAAAAGAAACAGGGCAATGATACGGAAACACACCAGAGCTCAAAAAGACGTGTTCTCTGCCATCCAAGGCTGTGGGACATGAAATGATGGGTTTGAGTTGCAGGAAGACGGACTTCTGCTGAAGAACAGGGAAGCTTCTTAACCCTCAGTCAATGGAGCCAGGCTACGAGGAGTTGGCAGGCTCTGCATCCCTGCGGATGTTCCAACAGGACATGGGCAGCTGCCTGTTTGGGATGCTTAGCTGGACTCCTGCCCTGAGAAAGGGGTTGGTCACAGTGGCCTAAATAGGTGCTTTCAGCGCCACGATTCTGTCCTAGATGGATCGCACTCACGGGCATCACACATGAAACGCAGGCAGCTCCTGGCAGTGTAACTGTGTGCTTTTTTGACAGTGGACAGTTCTGGGCCACCTACTGCATTTTGGCTCCGCTCTGGCTTCCTTTGGCTGTGCCTGCTCTGTTCCCACACTGCTTCCTTGCCTCTGTACCTGCTTTTCTGCCCGCACTGTTCTTATGCATGGAGGGATGAACAAAGCTACTCAAGGATTCATCTTAACTCTGTCTGGCATAACCACGTGCATCCTGCTGTTTCTGGGTTTTAGATTCTGGATGGCGAGGCAAACAAAGTCACATCCTTCGGTTACTCTATTGCCGGGAATATGGATCTTGATAGGAACACCTACCCTGACATCGCTGTGGGGTCTCTTTCAGATCTTGTGTCTGTCTACAGGTATGTAGTTCCCCGTGCTCTCACTGTCCATGTGAGTCATTGGCAGGAAGGGGGTCTGAAGGCATGTTAAGAGCAATCAGTGGGGCAGGGTGGGGCAGGCCTCAGGCTTGCGAGAGCTACTTTGTTTCTTGACCAAAACCATCAGTTGGAGCCAGGTAGCAAAAGTACTGGGTGGGGGCAGAGTCAGATCCAAAATGGTGGCTTGGGGCAGAGCCAGGTTTGACCAGCATCGAGAAGCACAAGTCTACATTTTTGGACTGTAAGGGCCTCATGTTCTGACTGAGAGCAGGGAAACCTATCGGAAGACAGAAACCCCTGGTGATCTGCTTCAAATAATCCACAGGGGATGTTTGAAACAGCCATGCTGAACCTCTTCCAGCCAGAGGGCCAGATTTGATTTTGGAGATGGCCTTCTAGGCCCCTTCCCACTGTATGAGCCTATGACTCTTGGAGATTGCATTCCAGTGGTGCTTGGGCAGAAGGCAAAAGTTGCTCCCGGTAATTCTTGTCCCCAGTGAGAGATTTCCGCCTTTTAGAATGGGAGAAAAACTGCACAAGCGCCAGGAAACCACCAAACTGTTGGTGATTGGGAGAAGAGGGGATGGGGCTAGGGAAGAAGGTGTGGGGCCCCATTGGGACCCTGAGTTGGCTGGGCTTGGCCTCAGCCACTAGAAGCTGAGATACCTTCTGCCCACCCAGCTCTGCAGGGGCTTGCAGAGAAAAGTTCCAGTCTCTCTCTTTCCACTTGCTACCTGAAGTGGAACTTGGATTACTCCTATAACTGCTATAGAATGGTTGCCATAATGTTTCAGTCTTTGGGGCATAACAGAGAGAAAGAGAGCTTGGGAAGAAGAATTCCATAATTTAATTCCAAAAACAATCTTGCTTCCCAAAATGTTTCCCTTAAAAAAAAAAGAAAAGCAAACGGTTGTGGTGGGTTTTGGATGGCCATTTGGATGTTACTAAGCGCAAATCATCCTGGAGTTGCCTCTCCTCTTCACATGCTCCACCCCATATAAAAATGTGTGTCATTTTTGCTGTTTACCAGCATGGTACATTTCTTTTCACGGAATTTCATTCATTTTCATGATTGTTTCTCCTCCCCATCCCCCCACCCCCCCTCAAAAATACAAGGGCAAGACCTGTGATAAACCTGAAGAAAACCATTGAAATATCTCCAGAAAGAATTGATCTAAACAAAAAGAACTGTCAGGACGATAGTGGAATTTGGTAAGTTACGGAACTTGTCATCTTTGTTTCTCATTTCGTGCCTTCTCTTGCACTCTTGCGTGTGAAAAATTCAGCCATATGGTGACATGGAGGCTCCTTATTTCCACCGGCTAATACTATTTCTTTTGGGCTGGTCTTTGCATTGCTCCGGTGGTGCTGGAATGAGAGTTGCCTGGCTGATGGGAGCAACGTGGGAATCCAGGCTGCCAGGTTTTGGGGAGCACTTGGGCAAAAGGCCCTCTCTTGGCCCGCAGTGCTGGCTGCGGGCCACTGAGAGCCATGAGGCCTGCCTCCGTGAATGGATCGTCTCCCGCAGAGAGTCTTCCTTGTCACTCTGGCTTCCAGAGGCTCCTGCTCCTCTTTGTCCTTGTCGCCACCCCTTGCCCACTGGACAGGCCGGGCGCCAGGGAGCCCGCCAGCAGGGGCATCTGTTGCTCTCCCTTTTCAGCACCACCCTTGGGGCAGATTGGGAGGCGAGCAGGGTGGCGCGGAGAAGGGCAGGAGGAGGAAGTGGCAGGGGCTTTGGTCAGTGAAGGCCATGCCTGCCTTGGGTGCCAGCCTCCCCCCGCCAAGCAGGCTCCCCTCCCCCCCCCCCCGTGGGTTACTGCTGCCCACTCCTGTACATCCTCTGCTTGGGTGCAGCTCACAGGGGAAGAAGAGGCTGCTACTCCCCCTCCTCGCTTTTGCCACTGCTGACCCGCATCACGGGGGCAGGTATGCAGGCAGGCACAGCAGTGAGCAGCAGGTCCAGGCTGCTCCTGGGAGTGGCAGTGCCCCTGGTCAAGTGCCGCCAAAGGCCCGTCCCTGATGGTCCTTCCCAGTGCAGCATCAAAGCCCAGTTTCCTGTGGGAAGACGGAAGCAGCAGCGGGGGGCCTCCTCCGCAGAGCTCTGGAGCATCTCGTGCCACCCCAGTGGCGTCGGAGGGAGCGATGCTGGGGCGGTTTGCAGGTTGTCAGGGATCTGCAGGTACCAGGGCCTTCGCTTAGACCCACAGAAGATGTGTTGGTGGCACCACGGCCTTTGCTACCAAAAAAAGGCTGAAAAGCATTGTTTTCCTCTCAAATTTTCTTAATGACAGAAATAGCTGTCCTGTTGAACTGTCTTTTACAACCAGTTGTATTTTTTGTACAGTATGAACATTAAAGCGTGCTTTGAATATACGGCGAAACCCCTTGACTTCAACTCCCCAATAAGTAAGTTGATCATACATGCATATCACTAAGTATTTTTTAACGTGTGCACACAATTTCAGAAAAATTCAGTTTCTCACTGGATGGGAAGTGGCTATCATACAGATGGTTGGCTGTAGATGGACTTGTGAAAATCACGGCTCAGCTTTTCAGGTGTTGTCTGCCATTTTTAAGCCAAGAAGATGGCATTCCTAGCTGCCTCACCTTATTCCTGCAAAGTAACCGGAACATAATAATCCCTGCATTGTGCACTTAATAGACACAGGAAGGGGCTTGTGCCGTGTGCCGCCACTTCCACTTGTGCTGACCACTGCGATGGAAGGCACCGCGGACAGTGCCATTGCACTGGCTCAGTCGGCCAATGAGCCAGCATAAAGGTTTATTCATCCTTCTTTCCATTGTGTATCCTGGCAAGTGCTTAAAAAGGGATTTAGGCAATTAAGAACGATGAAAGGAGATGATAAAAAGAATATCTATTGGATAAATCAAATAAAAACGAACAACATAAAAAACCATGGTGCAGCAACACACCATTGGGTGGTGTGCTTATGCAACTTGTCTTAAGACTGGTGTCTTACAGAACAAGGTTGCAGGGGCTGTAAGGAGATGACTGTGCAATACCTGTATTATTTCTGGGAAAATGTAACAGACCAAGAGCCAAAAACAGAATGTAAATTAATTTACCTGCTGGCAAGTGGCTGGTCTCTCTCTGGCTCACTTGCTTGCGCTTACTTTCTTCGAGAGCTGTCACGGTCAGAGTGCGACCCTCTTGGCAAAACATGCCTGACCTTTCTTTGGGCATTTTGTTTCTCTCTCTCTTTCCACCAAACAACCTCCCCCTTCTCAGCTGTGGACTACACATTCGACGTGGAAGGCGAGAGGCGGCGGCTGGGGCTGCCCTCCCGGGTGCACTTCCGCAGGCTGCCCTCCGATCAGTTTAGCGGAAGGGTGACTCTTCCAGCACAGAGGAGGGAAGAGTGCGTGACGACGGCTCTTGTCCTGCAGGTACGCCAGGCACCAAAGCACACCTTGCCTTACGGATGGCCAGCCTGTGAGAGCCACTATTAACGTAGAGGTTAGAGCCCGATCGCAGAGCTCGGGGCCGGGGACCAGATCTGGCCCACACGGGCTCCCGGTCAGGGGCTCTCAGATCGCCATGCCCCTTCCTCTGCTCTGTGGCTGCCGATGGTTTTGAGGTTTTCCCACCCCAAAAGGTTCCTAAGGCCTCTCCTAAGCCTTGGTGACTGGTACAAAGTACTTTTAGGTAAACTACGGCTATAATCTTGGTAGCCTCGATCCTGCCCTCTTTGGCCTTCCACCCCATTCATCATTGGGATGCTGCTTCTCTGAAGTGAATTCTGCCCTTGGGCGTATTAGCCTGTTGGAGTGGGACTGTTTGGCGAAGGGGAAGGATAAACACGTAATAAATGTGGCCAAGCACAAGGCCTATACTGCCGCCTGCCCCTCTGGCATTGTGCCTCTGATTGGGTTCTGCCCAGTAGCTCAGAGGCAACACCACCCCAAAGTGTATGTGTGAATATGTGCGTTCGGGAAGGAGGGTGTATCTATACTGGGGTGGTGACCCGGATGAACAAGAGAACTGGATGGCCACTCGCCCAACCTGCCCTGAGATTTCTCTCCAATCCGAATACCAGCTTGTTCTGCATCGAGTTACTGATGTTGAGAGCCGGTACGTTGCACTCTGCTGGCATTGCAGTCCAGTTTTTTGATGAAATTATTCTATCTGGGAGCATCCCACATTCCAAGCTTTTATTTCAGGGGTGCAGCACTTTAGACCGAGGGACCAAATCAGTCCAGTCAGGATTAGTTCCTGGCAGTAGCACTTTAAATTAAGGTTTGTTGGGGTTTGTGTTCACTTGTTTGCCCAGCCCAGCCCAGCCCTGGAATGTGGCACCAGTAGCTTCTCAAAACGGGAATTAGGTCCTTGCTTTATTTGGTAGAACACAGCATGTTTGACCCACTACAAATCCTGTTGGTTTCATTCCATGCATTAAAAAGACCTTTCCCATATTCCTTAGGAAAAAGTTAAAGATAAACTGCGTCCGATTCCTGTAACGCTTGCCGTCACAATGAATGGTGCCGCATCCAGCTCACAGCCAAGGCGGAAACAAGGAGGGGCACTTCCAGAGCTCGCTCCAATTCTAAATTCAAATGAGCCAAAAACAGTTCATTCAGAAGTAAGTCTTTTGTTGCCAGTTTAATCTATTTCAGGCTTCCTATGTCAAACATGTGAAGGGAAAGGCAGGGTTATCTGAGCAACTTCCGTATAGTTACTGTCCATGTAACCAGTAGAGTGCTTCTTGCGGTTCGACCCAGGCCAGAATGTGGGGAGTTGCATTCACAGACCTCCTCACCCACACAGAATACTTCTCAGCCTTTCAATGATTGTTTGCATCCCATTGAGAAAGGCTACTCAAGTGTGGAGTGTGGAGGAGCGAGTGTTGGGAAGCGGGAAAAGCAAGCGTATCTGGGCCAGCTGGGATGATGCTCCTGCGTTCTGTCCCGGTTGCACAGGACTGAGAGGTTTGCGAGGAGGATGACGGCGGCACACATCTGGGTTGAAGGTAGTGCAGGGCAGGTGGACAGTAGCCATACTTGGATGCACATCACTCTAATCCACAACGGGTTGCATGTAACGATGCACAACGAGACATGAATCAGGCAGGAAATCTTGTCGCCCACCTCTGGCAGACAGTTGAAACACCAGCATAGCATGGCGAGATAGGAATAGTCTGATTAATTGTCTCAGCAGCATTGAGGTGTTCCTCCCCCCCGCCCCGATTTGGTTCCTGTTAGTGATGCATCAGGGAGCTGAATCTTATTGGCTCTGGGGAGTCCTGATGTCATCACATTTGCTACGTGATCAAGCTGAGAATGGTGCCAAAGCAGCCCATCACTTTGTAGAACGCCAGCCTATTATTAGATCTCACCTTAAAAGGAAAGCAAGAATCGGGAGGGGCAGGGAGCCCAGAGGACCTCAAGGGAACTGACTGTGGCATTATGCTGGAAAGCTCGGACAGAGGCAGCACAGAGCTGGAAGGGTCAGCAGTGCGACTTGGCGTGGGGCAGCTTCCTGGGCTCCCAGCCAGGTGGGCAGTCAGATCAGTGATGCAGCTCACTGTCACCCAGTCTTTGCCCAGCAGGGATGGCAGGCGGCCCTTGACGGGCAAGGACTTCCATGATGGGTCTCCCATGCGGTCCTTGGATTCAGACTAATGACGTACCACAACTCCACCTGCCCTTTCATAACCTCTTCCTTTCCCTGCTAAACAGGCGGTCACTGTTCTGCATCTTTCACCGGGATGGTGAGAATTTTGGAGAAATGTCCCTTTGTACAGGGCTTCCACACGTCCTTTACTGTAAAGAGGGGTGTCTGTGCGCTGTTCTACCATTTCCCCCCAAAGGTGTCCTTGCAGCACCTTTGGCGGCTTGTGCTTCTGTGGGAAACCCTCCAGAGGACATTGTCAGAACTTCCTTTCTTGGGGCTTTGAAACGCTGCTGCCTGCCAAGTGCATGAAAGCGACGAGAGGCATTTTTTATTTTACTGTTGTTAAAAGTCCTCTAACAACAACAAGAAGGACCACAATTGCTCCCTCAGCTTTCAGGCATTCAGCAGGCAGCAGCACAGGGAAATCCAAGGGAGGAAAATTAGCTAAATTTGCTGAGTGGCTTTTAAAGACGCTTAAGTAGCTGGAGAACCTGCAAGGACAGAACAGGGGAAACAGTGGGAAGTAGAGCCCATGGCTCTCAGCCAGCTCCGTACAGGAAGGTAAGCACTGAAGCCATACATACATCCTGAGACATTTTCCTGAAATTCTCCTCCCCTGCCACGATTTTTGGTTGCGGTTTCTTTTTGCCCCTCCCTCCAATAAACAGTTGAAAATAAATAGATTGAAAAATTGAATACAGTGCTAATTCAGAAGTTACTGTAGCAGTGTTGGGATAACATTGTATGGGCATAACTCCAACTCCGCCGTTGCAAAGTATAAATAAGTATAAATCTGGTATAAAGAACCAGGAGTTAGTGGAAAAGCAGGGTAGCAGAAACTGCTTACCTGCTATGGACTAAACACCGTGTTGCCTTCCATGGATTGGATCCAGACACGAGTTCATCCCATGGATTTCAGCAGCTCTACTTCAAGCATGGCTAGGAGGGGTGATAGTGCAGTGGGAAAAGGTTCCAGTTTTGATTGCCAGCATCACCAGGCAGGGCTGAAAAATAACCTGCTTAAACCTTGGAGAGCTGCTGCCTGCCAGTGCCAACAGTATTGGGCTAGATGGACTCAGTACAAGGCACCTTCCTATGTTGTACATTTGTTTCTAAACCAAGGGTTTTTTTTAAATGATTGTGATCCAAATCTGATAATTTAAAGGCAAACTGCTCAATTTGTGTTCTTTGAAGGTACAGTTTCTGAAAGAAGGCTGCGGACCAGACAATATCTGCAACAGCAATTTGAAGCTTCATTACAGATTTTGCACCAAAGAAGGAAGTGAAGACAAATTTGCCTACCTTCCAGTGTAAGTCTTTATGGGATGTAGTGCTGGTTTGAAAAGAAGCTCCTTTTGTTTCTTGGTGAGGCAAACCCCCGAAACGGAACTCAATTTATATCCCTAGGGAGAACAATGTTCCAGTGCTTGTGCTCAAAGACCAGAAGGATATTGCCCTCGAAATCACAGTCACAAACAGTCCCTCAGATCCAAGACAGCCCCAGAAAGATGGAGAAGATGCTCATGAAGCTAAGCTCATAGCTTCCTTTCCAGACAGCTTGACTTTCTCTGCATTCAGGGAGCTGAAAAGCTTTCCAGTAAGCATTTCTTCCAGGTTGCGAGTGCATTAAACGACTTGGTTATTTCTGTTTGCCTAGCCTTGAAACGCCTGTCCTTTCTCCTTTAGGAAAAACAGCTGACCTGTGGTGCTAATCCTAATGGTTCGCAAGTAGACTGTGAACTTGGAAACCCTTTCAAGAGAAATTCTAATGTAAGTGATGTTTTCCTTTCTAGGTTGGACTGGTCTGTTTGAAAATCAGTGTTTTGGAAAGAAAGCCAAAATCATGTTCCCAACCACCAAAATCAGCACCTCCAAATTGAAGTTCAAGCTCTTGCACCCCAAACAAGTTTCATCTTAAACTCAGCAAGAGTGAGCATCACACGCTCCAAGAGGTCCCCTGTTCTTGCAGGCCCAGCACTGACACACAGCACGGTCAGGCATGTGCCAGTTCACACTGGAGCTGATGTCAGGATTATAATTGCTTTTGAAAAATTAACGCTAACAGCAAAGCATCTGCATGCATGGCTATAGCAGCCACCGTCTGCCCTTCTTCTCCCCATACCAGTGCCTTTCTTCTCCCCATAACAACACTAGGGACCAGAGTCATGTGGAGGAAAAAAAATGGCAGCTCTCGTCTGGCCTGGGGTGCCTCCTTTCCCCGTTGGGCAGCAAAAGGAAAACAACCACCTTGTTAGGCTGGCGTGACTGTTTCCCTTAAGGAACCTGGAACTGGAAAGGGAACTGCCAGGCTCACTTTCACCTATTCATTTGCTTCTGCCTGTCCCACCTTCTGTTTAAGCTTATAGGGCAGGGGAGAGGTGGATGGGGAGAATCACTTAGAATGGAAGTAGCTGGCAGGGGGAGGGATTATCTGGCAGGGAGGAAAGGTTTGCCTGGGAAGCACCCCTCGCTCCTGCAATCAGAGGGTGCCTTGTCCTGGGCCTCTGCAAATCTGGCCTTAGACCTGCCTTCCCATATGTATCTATAAGGCATCCTTCTGGCCTGTCTTTGGAAGGAGGCAAGCTCAGAGTGGTGGTTTATGTAGAAATGCAATGGAATCACAAACCCAGTACAGACCCGTGACCGAATTGCCCATTCTCTGCGGAGGAGCATGACTGGCAGGAAAGAAGGCAAGAACCAGAAAATGTTATAGAGATGTTCTAAAGCCAGTGTGATGTAATGGTTAGAGTGGGAACTGGGAGGCCTGGGTTCTAGTCCCCGCTCAACCATGAGTCTCCCTGGGTGACTTTGGGCCAGTCATAGTGTGCCAGCTTAATCTACCTCGGGGTGGTTAGGATAAAATAGAGAGGAGAACTTTGTAAGCCTCCGTGTGTTCCTTGCAAGAGGAAGGAAGGTGGGATAGAACTGTATTTAATTTTCATTGTATTTATAGTACAAGGCAATTTTGTCTGTGGCTAGGTCCTTTTGGGCTCACTGGCAATCATACAGCAATGCTAGAGGCTTACACTGGTAACAGGAAAAGTGTGTTGTAGGCAGAGTTCCACACAGTTTGGCTTGGCTTGCTAGCCAAAGGCATTACTTTGGTAGCCACACGTCCACTGGGCCCTGCAAAGTGCCTTGTTGCTGTTGCTGCCTTCTTCGGAAATCCCATCAGAAGGAAAAGAAACCACCCCTACTTTTTCTTCTCCCCGCTCTCCCAAATGCTCTCAAAAGCCGTCTTCCTCAAATGGGCACCCTCCAAATATGTTGGACCAAAAGTCCCAGCAGTGTGCTAGCTGGGGATTATGTGAGTTGTAGTCTCCTTCCCTAACCTTTTGGAAACTGTTTGATCAAGTAAGTAAAAGGAGCTGGTTCACAATATTCCAAGTGAGCAAGTCAAAGCTTTTAAATAGCCAAGGATGCTTTTTGAGGAACAACTTAAGCAGAAATTCCAAAGAATGACAGAAAAAGGAGTTTCAGGAGAATTGGTATAATCTTATTTCTCCCTGCCCCAAGGAATCAAAGAAAACTCTTGCCAGGAAGATAGTGGTCCAGTTACTGTGTTGAATTTTCCCAAGAGACAGAACAAAATAATTTAAAAAAAGAAAAGTTTTCTGACCCTTCTTAATAGTACATATTCTACTGAGAAGAAGAGTGGGTGTTCCTTCTTCTTTCTAGGGCAAGAGCACAACAAACATTCCTTTTGACTTTAGTATAACATGACATTAAAAATAAAACATCAAAACAATAGGTTTAGTGTCAGAGATGAAACAAAACAGCTATTCATTACCATCTAGCATGGGTAGAAGCTATAATAAATAAAAGAAAGGAGAAAAAGCTTCTTGCACTAAATATGGGTAAAAAAAGTTTTTTCAAGAACAAAACCTCTTGCTGAATATTTTCATAAGCTTCGGTTTATTTTAATACCTACCAAATGACTGCCAACATTTAAATACTTTCTTATTTTAATCTGTCCCAGAATGTAAGGCAATTTTGCCATGTAAGATTTAAACCTACAACCTTTCTTAACTATTTTGCATTTGTTCATTTTAGGTTACATTTTATGTGATTTTAAGTACAACTAAAGTTAATGTGGACACAAGGGACTTGGACATTAATCTGAAATTGGAAACGTAAGATTGCCCTTTTTAAGACATTGCATTCCTTATTTTACCTAATGCTTGTAAATACTCTGAAATTGCTGGGATTTGGTTGTGAGAGCAAATGAACTATAGAACAAAAATAGTTGGAATTATCTATTTTTAAAAATCCACAAGTATCCTTTTGTTTCCTTTTTGCTGCAGAACAAGCAATCAAGCGAATTTGGATCCAATTACTGCGAGGGCTAAAGTAGTTATTGAACTGCTTTTGTCACTCACAGGGTAAGCGTCATGGTTGGCATAACCAGTCAATGCTAAGAACCAACCCTTTGATCACGGTCCTTACAATGTGATTCTTTTTTTCAACAATAGGGTTGCTAAGCCTCCTCAAGTATACTTTGGTGGCAGTGTCATTGGTGAGAGTGCTATGAAATCAGAAGACGACATTGGGAGCTTAATTGAATACGAGTTCGCTGTAAGTTGGTCCACGGTGGGAAACTGGTTTTTTCTCCACGGGATTGTTCAAAGGATGGCCTTGTCTTGGCAGGGTTGTTCTTGTTGCTTAGTTGCAGAGTCGTGCCTGACCCATCGCAACCCCATGGACAACATTGCTCCAGGCTCTCCTGTCCTCCACCATCCCATGGAGTCCACCCAAGCCCACACCCACCGCCCCAGTCATTCTGTCTTTTGAATGAGGGCAAAGCCTGGTGTGGGGACATTACACTGTATGCAGTCCTGCCCATCAGCCAGCAGAACAGAACCTTTTGGATGGGATGAACTTCCGCTTCCCTTCCTGTGGCCCTCAGATCAGTTCTGGAGGGGTTTCAGGGGGCAAGGAGACCAAGAGGAAGCCCAGTCATGTGAGAACAGTTCTCTGGTGATGCTGGCTCTAACCTATTCTGGCCATCCTATTGATTTCTTTAAAAGTGGCCTCTGTTTACCTGTGTGTAGGATTTTATTCACATATGTAAAATGTTCTGAGTGGTCTGAAAGCACTAGATGCAGTGTGGCATTGCACATCGTGCTAAGCCACCCTGTAAATGAGCTGGGCGGTGTTGATCGTTTGCAGAAAAACCCACAGTATACCCAAGAGGCAACTGGGCTCGCTGTGAGTTTTTCTGTCCCTCCTCCTTCAGTCCACCAGCCAGCTCCTGCATGTATCACAGGTGCCTTTTTGGTTTAATCCACCAAAGTTGCATGAGGAACTTTATCTATTTTTAAAACAACTATTCCTGACAGATAACTAACTTTGGTAAGCCACTGAAAACATTCGGCACTGCGTTCTTGGACATCCTGTGGCCCAAAGAAATCAAGAATGGCAAATGGTTGCTGTATTTGGTTTCAATACACTCCAAAGAATTAGGAGAACTCCAGTGTGAACCTCTGCAGGAAATAAACCCACAGAGAATTGGGGTAAGCAAGTGTATATATCTTCATATCTTTGACGTAAATTGCCAACTGTCACTCAGTGGTATTTTCTTTCAAAACTAAGTATTGTGTTTGTGGCATTTGGATGGCTCCTTGACTATGGAATGAAAAAAAGTAGAACAGAGTTGGCCCTATCAAGAAAGAAATGCAAATTTTGAAAAAATATGGTAGACTTGTCCTAAGATGGTACAGTTTTTTGGGAAATAAGTAAGCACAATTACATTTATGTTAAGTTATGAGATTTGTTAGGCTCAATTGTTACCTTATTAGTAGTGTTAATTAATATCAAGAATTAGTTTGGAATCTATTTGCCAAAGTAAAAATTTTAATAGCTATGAAACGAGGAAAGAGTGAGGTAACCACTGTTAAATGCAGGTTATTGAAACTATGGGAAATAGCAAGCATGGTAACATTAGAAAAGAAGGAAGTAATTTTTTTCAATAATTGGAAACCATTTTTAGAATGCATGAGTCAAAAATATAAATTCAATATAAATTCAATATTGATCAATGTGTTTGTATTGACTTCCTTTTTATATACCTGGTTATTTTTTTTTAGAAGTCTCGAAGCTCAAGGACAAAACGTGAAGTTGCAGAGAAGCAGACAGAGGGCAGCAAAGGCTTTTCTTTGTTTTCAGAAAGAAAATCTAAGACCTTGGTAAGTATTTACTTTGAGCAGCTTTGTGGCCTTCCCCCACCCCCTTTATTTTTGGAATTACTGATGAACTGTGCATAACATGCATTTTCACCTAGCTTCGTTACCCTAGAATTCCATGCCATACTAAATGTAATGTATTGCGTGTAGAACAGTGTTATTAACGATTAACGAGCATGTTGTTTAGAATAGCTGTCTCTTTGAAATGGAAACTAATGTTAAAGACAATTCAGGATTCCAAAGTCAACTCTAGCTTGCAAAGCTTAAGGTGTCACAGGACTGATTTTAGCCACAACAAAACAAAAAAGCACTTGTCACTTTAAAAAGGGCAAAGGGAAGGCATTTTGTGGAAATAAACACCAAGCTGTAATATTTGTGTTGTTGTAACCTGGGGGGGGGGGATTTTAATTTTGAAAGTTTTGTTCAGTGGCTCCAGTGGAAACAGGACTTTATTCCTGCATATGAATTGCAGCTTAAATAATTTTAATGGTGTGAGCATGTGCTTCCAAGAAGGTTGTTACCGGGATCACAGGACACAGCAGATCTCCCACTATGAAGCCAGAAGAGATGTTTGTGTTTGGCAAAGTGGTCCACCTTTACAAGCATTCCTTGCTTCTCCGTTGGTGCTCTGACCAGAGAGGGCAAAAAGGAGACATGAAGGGCAGATGGTAGGGATGGGCCTAGAGCTTTCCCTTCCTTCAAAGAGACAGCAAAACTGTCAGCTGGCACAGTTCATTTCCATTCCATGAGAGCCGATATGGGAGGAGCAGGAAGCCCAACAAAGGAGCTGAATGGAGAAAGAGGTTAAAATCCACCTTACCATCTTTGTTCTACCAAATTCTGCTTTGTTCTACTGTCTCGCATTTCTCTTTCTTCACGCTATAGGATCACTTTGGAAATAGTTTTCCTGTTGTTTCTAATATTTTATTTTAGATTTCTTTATGGCTGTCAAATGACATGCTTTGCAAATGAAAAACAACCTCCTTCAATTCCTTCAAGGAAGCACTTTTTAAACGTTTCTGTAAATTTAATGCAGGAATGTAATGGGGAGGCCAACTGTGTCAACATAAGATGCCCTTTGCAAGGCTTGGACAGCAGAGCATCTGTAACACTGCGGTCAAGATTGTGGAATAGCACTTTCCTAGAGGTAGGTTTTGTACACACATTCCACAGAGATTCAGATCGCCCCCTTTTCTTTGTTCTAATGAAAACATCTCTTGTTTCTGGTGCCACTTACCAGGAGTACTCTAAAATGAACTACCTAGAAATTCTTCTTAGAGCTACAATCAGTATTGATGCTGCTGCGGATAACATTAAGCTGGCGAACGAAGCTACTTATGTGAGTCCCTAGCATTTCCTTAATGATGATGGCTGTACATTTCATGAAGTGGAGAGTGTTTCTTTGAATAAGATGAGCAGATCATCTCCAGACCAGAAATACTCCAGTATTTCTGAGTGGCAGATTCTGTTCAGCCCCACCTCAAAATATTCATAGGCTACTTGGCCCTTGCCAGGATGCTAGGAATGCAGTTCTTCTTTGTGGTCTCTGTGCATCACGCATATGGGCTCTGTGCCTGCATGCAGCTCGTTGTCAAAAATTTGCCTTCAGCACGGATGTAAATCTGACATTTTTGCATGCTTTCCAACGACCACCAGTCTAATACTTTCCTGTTCTCCTGCAGGTGCGGGTCACTGTCTTTCCTGCAAAGACAGTAGCATTGTATAAAGGGGTCCCTTGGTGGATTATCTTAGTAGCCGTTCTTGCAGGATTGTTAATGCTTGCTTTGCTGGTGTTCCTACTATGGAAGGTGAGTACTTTTAATAATATGCTATTTTAATATTTGATCAAATATTATTTGAAATGTATAAAGAACTTTTGCATACACACACATATATAGAAAGCCGCCACCATCAATTTAGTATACACAAACTGTTCCTTATTGTTGAAACATTTGGTAAAACAATTTTTGTAAACAAGCAAATAGCAGAGGAAAAATAGTTTTACATTTGGCCTGGCAGATACTAGATACTCATTTTAGACTCATTTTGATTCTTTTTTAATTCAGGTCAGAGGGATACAGGAAAACATGTTTATCTTAGAAGGGGCAAAAAATGTATTGGAAAATTCTTATAATATGCAAATATAGTTAGGATTTTATTTACATGTCTACAAAGACCAAGATTCTGAACTGATCAAGATGAGAGTCTGGCATAAGATACTCTCAGTTAAAGCCTTATTCATATATCTGTAGCTGCACACACCGATCACATTGGGTTCTGTTTGATGTGCTACTTTAAAATATAATAGACACTACGTATTGCCATGTAAAGTTGCAGTGCCCAGGACTGGGAGGACTGCCAAAGGACCTAATATTTCTTCCCTGCCTAAATGTGCATGCAGATGCAGTATGCTGAGATACTAGAAGGATTGAGAAGGCTGTGTGTCTCTCCCCCATTCTTATGCTTCCCTCCCTGATAAAATTATCAAGTTGCCTGCAAGATAAGAGGCACAAGTACCCTGTGGGAATCTTAGGTACTTTCTAAAATGCTGTTTCTCAGGCAGCTAGGATTACTGAATGGAAACCAAATTTATCCAGACTTCATACAGTGCTTAATTCCCCCTCCCCAACAAGACCAAAGTTTGATTCTGCAGAAAGGTGAGTTTAGGTACAGAAAGCAAACACTGCATGATTTCAACTGGGACACCCCTATGAATGTTTGTGTAAGGCACTAAAAGAAAGATGAAAAGTGTTGATCAGTTTACTGGTTGCTAATGTATCATGCACATAACTGAAGCGCTGAAGGAGTCCAGAAGATAAGTCAGTCACAGAAAAGTCCTATGAAAGCTTGAAAGGTTTTGTAGAGCTTTTTGTAGGTTTTGTAGAAAGGCTTTCAGATGAGTATTTTTAAACACACAAAGAAATCTGGTTCACCCGTTTCTTCTTTGCTTTCCCTCAGTCCATAATATTGACTAAAATGCCTTGCTTCCTTATAGTGTGGTTTCTTCAAGAGAGATAAGAAAGATCATTATGATGCTGCATATCACAAGGCTGAGATCCATGCTCAGCCATCTGATAAAGAGAGGCTTACTTCTGATGCATAGTATTGATCTGCTTCTGTAATTGGTAATTGATCAATTTTGTTTTTGAATTTGTTAGCTGCGGGACATGCTTATGGTTGCGGTGGCTAATGACTGGAGGCTTGCTGCATCTGTTCCATTAATTGCCTCGTTTTCAAAACATCAATTTTTGCTTGCTTACATTGATTATAATAATCCCTTTCTCAGTGCGCAATGATGCAAAACCTTTTGCCAATTGTTTTTTAACAGCTGTCTATTTGTGCATTTTTCCTTGACATTCTGAAGGTTTCCCCCTTAAGGCTGGTAGCATGATCCTAAATTTGTAGACTCATAATCTAGAAGACAGAATGTTCCTCCTGGAACTTTTTCATTTCGCTATTAAAAAGTTAAGGATGTTATGAACTTCCAGGCTAATCCAGAGGGAAAATTCCATGCTAAGCCAAGTTATGTGGTTTTCAAACTTTGTTCAAAAGAACCCTGGACCGATTTCCCTTAGGCAGAGATGAGTAATACCAGGCAAACTTTCCTGAAGGGCAACCCAAGAACTGTCACCAATTTTTTTCGGCAAGGGACAGGAATGAATGAAGATGGCCCAGACAATGCTCTCAATCCACGTGGGTTTATGAGGATTTGGTCTGTGGCCTATATGAACCATACTCCAGCATCCCCTGCAATGTTCAGGGGCTCTATAAGAGGTAAATTGTCAGAGAAAGTGAAAAGAAAACACTAAGCAAAACAATAATTTCCTTGTAAACAGTGAGCAGTCCCTCTTATCTGCATTTTCATATACAAAGCTTAATTATTCAGTAGATTCATATAACATCACCTTATCTAAAATAATACTGTAAGTGGACCATAGAGTAAATATTAAAATGCATCATAATAAATACAAAATGTTGAAAAATAGTAAAACTAAATACTCAAAGCACCCAAATGAACACGCAAAGTAAGCAGCACCATCCATCAGAGAAGGCCTGAGCGAAGAGATCAGTCTTTAACTTGTGCCTAAGACAGGGGCTTTCTGTAAGGAGGGCACTACCACAGAGAAGGCTCACTTCCAGGTCACCCCAAGGCAACAACCTGCAGGTCATTATACAATTAATTGACAAGAGCCTCTAGGATGACCTTAACGATCACACCGGTCAGGTCTGTAGCGGAGAAGATGATCTGCCAGGTAGCCTGGTCCCAAATTGTTCAGGACTTTATATGCCAACAGCACAGACATCAAACTTGGCTCGGTAGTTAAAAGACAGACTGTGCGTAAGGCTGGCTGGGCATGCTGTGAGCTGCAGGACTTGTTCCCCTTCTAAACATTCATAGGGATATACGCTTAGGGTAAGGGTAAGCAACCTGGGGCCTTCGAGGTGTTTTGGACTACAACTCCCATAGGCCCTGCCCTTTGTCATGCTGGCTGTTTTGTTCAGCAGTTGTAATGCAAAGCATCTGGATGGCATTGCGAGGTCTACTTCTGAGGATTTGCAGCCTCTCTCGGACTACTTCTTTGAATGTCAGTTGATAATATGCAAGAGAAAGCAGAACAGAAGTGGCTGGAGACAAAACAAGCTTTCCAAAAGCCAGGTTAGCTTAGCTTTCACATTGAGAACTTGAAGAAAGAGCCTCTTATTTTATTTATTTATTTATTTATTTGTTAAAACATTTTTATGCCGCCCCATTCGCCAAAGCCTCGGGGTGGCTTACAACCTTCTATGTGGAAAACACGTTTTCTTGCATCGATTACAGTAGAACATAACCTCCTGGTACATATGCTTGAGGTTGCAGCTTTACGACACACATCTTGTTTCCATACAAGCAGCCAATGAAACTAATAAAGGGAATGAATTCAATCCTTCTGCCTCTCACATCAAAGTTGAACGCATGTTGAGGGGCAGATGAACACATATGGTGAACAAAAGAGATAACGTTTAAGAATAATAAGTAATACGTTTTCTATGTTACTGTTAAATTAGTATTTGGGGTTTTTTTCCATGCATGGTGGCCACAGTCCAGTAAGCAGCCTACAACCATTAATTGATGAGATTCATGTTACTGGCTTCAATAAAATGTTGGCAGTACCCTTCACAAATCTCAAGATTCGGACGGATTTTGACTCCATAGTGCATCTCCTAGGAACATAAGTGAATTAGCTTTATTAACATCTAATGCATGTCCAAAGCGTTTGCTGGAAAAAGCTGTTCTTTATTCTCCATTTCTGTGGGACGTTTACTGGAAACTTTCCTGCCTTTATTTCTTCTACACTTGAATATGCATTTCTACACTGAAGCTTGGCCACTGCATGATACCTCAGCCCTTGGCAAAACTTGAACTCATCTATGTAAATATACATTGTGTTTGTTAGAATGCCAGGATGACCACTTTCATTTGCTACCATGCTGCTAGAGACGCTGAGATGTAGAGACAGGAGGAGAATGAGATATGTCACAAATCTAGCAATTCTTCCTGTTACTTGGCCCAGAGTATGGTCTGAAGGCACATAAGGCATTCACCATGTTGAAGCTCAGCAAATCTGGAAGAGGCCTGAGTTTGGAGGGGGAATTCCCAGGGAACTGCTTGCAGCCATCTTGAGCTCCGCAATGGGAGAAAGATGGGATAGAAAAATAATAAACCAATAAATAAAATATGAAAGTATCTCAAAGCTCAAGTATGGGGCAGAGGACTCTTTATGTGGGCCCATGACCCAGGGGTTTTCAATCTAGGTTGCAAGCAAATGAGCTCAGAAGCAACTTCAGAATGGAAGGAGCAGCATTCTGAACGATGGGCTGCTCACCCAGGCCCTGTGTCAGAGACAGGGAGGTGCGCTTTCCTACAGGGCATGTCCCTGAAGAGCTACAGGTCCCACTTTCTGGAGTTCTTGCTGGCATCTCCTGGACATAGTTCAGAAGAGCCAGTAAGGTCTGGCAGGAGGAGGAAGGAGGTTTCTTGTGATCCCAGTGGAACATTGATGAAAGCTTAAAGTGGTCCCAGGAGGGTGGCAGCTAGTGCTCCTATACAGAACACCCTTCAGATGCTTTGCACTTCAGCTCCCATCACAGCCAGATAGCCAGTGGTCAGGAATGCTGGGAACTGGAGTCCAAAACATCTAGAGGGCACCAGGTTGGGGAAGGCTGCTCCAGAATATGCATGCCCGGTAACAGGTTTGAGCGGCATCACACCGAGTTCCCGGATAGTATCCTCATGTTAAGTCTCCACAGAGTCTCTTAGAGCTGACTGAGAGAAAGCGAGAGACCACCCCCACGCCCATTCCCTGTGATTGGGATAATTCAGCAGGGCAAAGGTATTTCTTGCTTTGAGATCATCATCATCATCATCATCATGTTACATTTAAACCTAAGCTTTCTTCCTCTTGTAAGGAAGCCCAGGCTGCTGCAAGGTTCCTTCTCCTCCATTTTATCCTTGCAACAACCACCCTGTGAGTTGTGCTAGCCTGGGAGTGCATGATTGGCCCAGAGTCACCCCGGGAGCGTCATGGCCGAACCCGGGTCTCCAGAGCCACAGCGTTCTAACCACTACACACTGGCCTGCAAACGAATGCACGTTCCTGGGAAAGCCACGGCCACGTGGAACCCGTGCCGGTAGAAGCCCCTGCGTGTTCAGGTCCTCTGTTTTAACACCGGGAAGGTGCATCTGGTGTACACAGGGGGCCCTGGAAGTGGGGCTCCTCTGCACCACATTGCCCCCCACTGCCTTCTGAGGTTTCTCCCTCCCAGCTGACACCACTCTCAGGGCTTTGCTTACCAGGCTCGTGTCCTCAGTTAGGACTGCTACTCCCAAATTCACAAGTTTGCCTTGATTTTGAATATGTAGGAAGTATTACCATGCTGGCTCAAAAACTAATCATTACTTTTTAAAAGTTGTTTTTAGATTAATGGATGTGTTTTCTGCTTACATGCTTGGATTGCACTGTTTTCTCTCACCTGTTGCTCTTACTGGCCTTGCATTTTGCAGCTGCCTGTCTCTTGAAAAGGACTAGGGCAAGGATATAGTCACTCATGTAACTACAGTCTGGATTTTTCCCCCCTCTGTAGTGTGGGTTCTTCCAGCGTTCCAGGTACGATGACAGTGTCCCCCGCTACCATGCTGTAAGAATTCGGAAAGAGGAGAGACAAATCAAAGATGGAAAAACTAAAGAAAATCCCACAAAAAAGCAGTGGATCACAAGGTGGAATGAAAATGAAAGCTATTCCTAGGGATTGTCTCCCTGAACTGAAGGGTCATATGGTTTTTAAGATACTTTTGATTGACAGGATGAATGGATAAATGGATGAAGACCTATGTACAGAAGTGGCTGTCCCTTTTTTTGTATATATTAGTTTCCCATCAAAGCTTTTTTTGCTTTGTTTTGCAGACCTAAATTTGTCTAAAACTATATGTAGGTATGAGCCAATCTTTAAGAAAGATTCCATGTAAAATCCATACCATCAGTCAGAGAGGGAAAAGGGAGCCGGAAGAGGAAAGTGCTGTGTCAGCTCAGGTTGCCTTTTCTGCCATCCAAGCCCCTTTCTGGGAGCCTGTCTGGTTTCTCCCAGTTCGGCCTTTGCAGCTGGAGTCCTGGGTGTCTTTTAGCAACCCTTTCGGCACCCCGTGTGAGGCAAATGCAGGGCTGCCTCTTGGCATGAGGAAAAAATAGCCCATTGTTGTGAGGAAAAGCTGACTGCGTCCAAAGAGAAAAGCAGCAACCCAAGTCATTGTGGGGCTTGGTCAAAGCCCCTCGCCAGAGTCTGAACTGAGCTGTCCATATGACCTGCAGAGGCTGAACTACAGATTCAGTTTTGCTCAACCTGTCTTGAGTTTTCGGACTCTGCCTCCTTGCTGTGCTGCATCCCTGAACAGCTGGTGCCTCACTCCCACCTGGACAAAAGACATGGAGCTCATTTACTAATTGAGTGCTCCTATATTTCATAGAAACATAGAAACAGAGCAAGTCTGAAGGGGCCTCCCGGGCCATCTAGGCTGACCCCCGGCTCTAGTCGGCTCCACTCATGACATGCCTACCATGTGCATGTTATTAGTCTTTGTTACTAGTCCTTGAAATGCCAGAAGGGGAGACAATCTTGCCTTTTTGTGCTGGGAATTGTCTCTTGCCACAGATTCATATAAAAATGGTATGAGACTTTGGGTTGCACAATCAAACAGCCCACCACCATGGCTTATTTAAGCCACAATGCGTTTTAGGACATGCAGTGCCCCTTTTGAATATTCACCCTGCAATTGCAGCTTGTCATGACATCCAAACCTGGGGACCATCAGTTAAACAATAGCTAATGGTAAAACAGGCTACTGATTCGGCACCGGATGTTTAAGCCTGGCACAGCCCACAGTTGGGGTTTGAATAATACGACAGGCTATGACTTGAATATACAGGATGGCACCTGTGGGTTCCGCAGCTAATCATGGTTTAAATAAGCTGCAAGCCGCAACAAGAGTATGGATCCAGGTTCTTTAGTGTGACAGAGAGCGTGGTATAACCTGGCCCGCACTCATTTGTAGAGAAGAGCATAGTTTCTCAGTTTGATTCGTTCTTCCCTGATTTTTGGATGAGTTTGCTTGCCTGAGGGATTGTTTTGGGTCTCAGAATGTCTGTTATACTGCCTGGCATCCCATCCCCCCCCCCCCCCCCCCCCCCCCCCCCCACTGGAAAATGTTCTTCTTAATCCCCAGATTACACTGGCTGTGATTATTTAGTGGAAAGAGTTGCTCTGCACATGGTCAGAGTTTATAGCCCTTATTAATAGGATTAAGCCATGGCACTGAAAACAGATTTTAAGCTCTACTGGGCCTTGATTCAAATTAAATTTTACTCATGTAACTAAAATAATGAGTTCTTTCAGTTTTAGGGAACAAATGGAGTGGATTTTGAAGTGCCTGAAATATCGTATTTGTGTGGTAGTAACTTTTGCTGAAAAAAAACCTGCATGCAGAAGCAAATATTTCCTGGCATTTTTAAAGCTTTGATGTATGTTTTTTGTTTTGTTTTTACAATAAGTGTGTGTTTTTCTGTAATATGTATCCAGCCTATATCAGTTGACCTTAGTTCCCATTTAAATTAATTGAGTTTAATTCATGACTAACTTGTCTTGTATTGGTGTTAATGGGAACTAAGTTCAGCTAACTTACTGTGCAATCTTATGCACATCTACTTAGAAGTAAGTTCCACTGAGTTCACTGGGACTTACTCCCAAATGAGTATAGTATTGCAAGAATAGTCTGGATTCAACTCAATGTGTTTAAGAACTGCTGCAAAGATAGCTGGTAAAGCTCAGTTTTTAAACAAGGTGCTGACCCCAACTTTGTCTGACTTTATGCTCAAATGAAAGTAATTCCTTCTGTCTGTGGGTGTGTAAAGAATAGCTGCTGTTTCTCAGTAGAGAGACCATGGCACTCTGCACATGTTTAAAATAACTCTTTCCTTTAAGTACTGTACCAGTTCTAGTGTGGGGAAGGGAGAAGAATTTTAAAATCGAAGCCCAATCATTCAAAAAGTTAGCACCATTTTTACACAGTGGTGCAGGCTTGTGTTTTTCAGGTAAATTTGGGTTCTTTAAAACAGCTAATTTTGTGTTCTCAGACTAATGTGTAACTATGGTAGTTAGGGTATCTTAAATGTGCAATAGATCTTGTTTCAATAATGTTTTAAAAATCAATTTGTGTGAATCTCCTGCTCACACCAAATATACACAGGTTTGTTTTTAAAGCTTGAATATTGGTTGTACTTTTTTGTATATACTGTAAGTCATCATTATATATTTATTTTTATCATAAATCTTTGCCTTTAACTGACTGTTAAGCCAAAGATTTTTAACTGGACTTTAAAAATAGGGAGCAATAGTATATAAAAGAGTTCAGTGATTACAAGCAAATACTTTCCGCCAAATGTGCCGATATGTTAACCTTTGTATTTCAGTGGTTACAGGAACAATCTCACGCATATTTAGACCAAAAATAAAAAATAAAAAGGCCTACAACTGCCAGCATGTCCCAGCCAACCATCCTGGGAGTTATAGGCCTTTTTTTGTCTAAACATGCATAGAATGTACCCTAAATCATTCTCAGAAAGTCTTCTTTACATACTGTATTTCTGATGATGTAGTATGGAGATATTTTATCTTCTGAATAATTTGTGCACTAATTCATACCTACAAATGTTTTATCTATAGAAATTCTATATGACTAACTTAAAGAACAATATGACAAGTGCTTCTTGGAGTGAGGAAAGGTTTTCTGGGTCTATGTTTGAAACAAGATTAACTACTGCAGGTGTTATAGCACTTGAAACAAAACATAAGCTTCAAATTTAAGTATGGATCTATACTGGTCCAGTTTAAGACTACTGAATAAATGCCATAAATACCTAAATTTTACCTGTAAGAATAGTTCCATACAGTTGTGCTATTTGATACTTGTGACTGTAACAAAAATATTTACTTTTATAAAGCTACATCTAAAAAAGCATTGGTACTGGTAAAGAATTATAAACATGCTCTAACATTTACTGTAAATGAAAAACCAATAAAACCTTAATATGGGAGTATTATTTGAAAAGGGATGACAACTATGCAAATTTGCCTTGAAACACCAGATGCTATTTATGCTTTGCACACTGGAATCACACTACCAAAAAACCAACAAACCAAACACCCACCCCCAGCCAGCCCAACTCTGTCATTTGGGAGTGATTATTGTCCTTTTCAATGTTTTGTGTCTGGCCGTTCTTACTGTTATCCAAATGATTCTGGTCATATATTTCATAAAAAATCTTTAGTGTTTCAGAAAGTTTTGTTTATTTAATGTGTAAGCTCTCTTTTGCCAAACTTCAGTTCCGGTTCTGGTGTTTGACGCTGTATTCCACCAAGCACAGCTGCTTTCTTCCCCACCTGGTGCCCACTGCTTCATTAAAATGGGGGGCTATGCAAAAGTCCCATCGCAGCACACATGGGGGATAGCAACCCATCTGTGTGAATGGGCCAAGGGAGCAGTCCTGCTGACTGAATCCCCATTGCTTGTGGGTCCCTGAACTCGGAAGCTCAGGAGCAAAGTGGGAGGAGTGGTGGAGGCACTCTTCACCCTCACGTCCTCCTCTGCCATGCAGTTTGCTGGACGGGCGTTTTTGCCCGTCTCACAAAGGTGTTTTGGAAGTGGAGGGAAGGAAGCTGGAGAGGCCTCAGGATCCTTCCTTATCCTAGCAGCAACACACTCCTCCCATCCCCACTCCACCCCCTTTGCCCACCACCCCGCCATGACCGATTTCCTGACCTCAGAGAAGAAGCCAGCCTGGTTCTTTATGCAGTGTCCGTGTGGGGAAGGGACATGATCCTTCTCTCAGAAACTTGAAAAACTACAGCTTTGAAACACTACTTATTTCTTCATAAAACCGCAGTTGTATTCTGGTATCTTATTTAAAAAAAGACCTAAGGTTTTAGTAGCTGGCATGGTCCACAGGGAAGGCTCTGCACTCTGGAGCCCAAATTTGTGAGTTCAAATCCCCTTTGCTTTCACCTACTTTTACATTAAGCAAGGATGCCGAGTCACCGTTGCTAAGCTGGAAGGCACCGGCCTGCAGCTGGATGGGTGACCACTTGTGGAAGTGTGGGGTGGTGGACTCAATGGCCTTATAGGTCCCTTCCAACTCTACTTCTAAATATATAGGTAATGTTAAATTAGAGCTGGTTTTAAGTAAAAATGTCATCTCGTGTCACTTCACTGGGATATATTCATTTTTATACACTGACTGCTACTAACATTTAATGTTAAATAACGGCTAAAAGTTACCTGTGGATATTTCTATACAAGTGTGAAATAAATTTTGTATGAAAAACTCCTTCTGTGCTGGTACTTTTTGTGTTCCATGCTAGTAGTACATGGCATGTTTTTAATTTTTGTGAGTGCTCAAATAACTTGCTTTAGCTAAGGCCACTCCACACATTACAGACATCAAAGCACATGCCTGGTTCACCTGAAGTTAAGTAATTGCTCAATGTAAATCAAATCAATAATTGTTCAATGTAAATCAAATACATTATACTCCAATATAATGTATAGTGGGATATCTAGTAAAGGTGTTAAATACAGTAAGTTAAATAAAGTGAATACTTTTCTTAGAATAGAAAACCTTCTAGCACTGACCCAAGCTGGTGGTAATTGCATGCTTTTAACAGATCATATTCAGGAATTCTTAGTATAATATAAAAACTTGTGTGGATCAACTAAGGACAATAGTCCTATGCATGTTTTCACCAAAAATAAAAATTAAAAATGGTTTTCATAGAGTTGCAGGACTTCTTTCTATCTGAACATGCATAGGATTGTACCCTGAACATCCTGAACGAATATAATTCAGTCTGCAGACAAAATTTACAGGAACACAAAAATGACGATTAAAGATACAAAAATGGCTATGAAACTGAAATAGAATAAAGGGCCTGGCTCAGATGGTAATACTACTAAATTATACAAAATTATCCAAGAATTAACTGATGTTTCATACTGTGTAGAATAGATTCTGTAAAAATAGGATGCAAATATGATACTAAAACCTGGAAAGGATTTATTAGGCATTCAGTACTGTGCAGTACTGAAGTTTAGTTTTAACATTCTAGCTTTGATAATAACAAAGTATAAAAAATCATGGGCTCTCATATTACCACATTTTACCATTTTAAATGAACTATCCGCTGAGAAATAAACCAGGGAAATCAATGACATAACTATATTTGGTTCAGACTGACAGGTTATTCTTTGATCCAGCAAAAGCTTTGGCTATGGAAAAGTGACATTTTTATGAATTTATGAGGACCTGGATAAATGAATTATATAATACCCACTTGCCTAGGATTCTGGAAGATGGACAATAGGGAGGTAAAGTAAGGTTGCCAGTTATCTTTGTTAATATTCAGTGTATGGCGATTCTAGCCATGTTAGCTAAAATAAGCCCAAATATACAAAGATTTTATTCTGCCAAATAGACTTAGTGAACAGTCCTATCACATCACTGTTCTTTCGATGGCGGGTTCTGTCAGTCCAAAGCCCTGCTGGCAGTTCCAGATGAAAGAACATTTACTAGATGGGCCTTTTGACCCATCATGGCCTACCTCTTGGAGTAGAAGGGTGGGACATGGAGAGGTTCTTAGGTGGAGTCCCCAGAATGCCCCCTTTCCATTCCTCTTCCAGGCAGTCTGGGGGGGCTTGCTGGGGCTGGGGGTGGGATGTAAGATCCATGATCAGGTATCTCTGTATTTGTAGCTCCGTCTGAAGAGATGTGGGTGATTTGCAGCATTTTATGGCATTGCAAACACTATCTGGGGCCCGTAGGATTGCTGTTATACACTTTTTCTCAGAGATAGTTTCCCCAACTTAGCTACTGTATTCCTCACTATAAAGCAAACCAGACAGAAGGAATCAAATTTGAAGTGCACAGTGAACACTTGACACTTGACGCTGCCACCCTATACCCACTTACCTAGGAGAAAACCCCACTGAACTTGTTGGGATCAGCTTCTGAATAAGACATGTAATGGATTGTACTTTGTTTTTCTAATTAGATTAAAGAAGTAATTAAAATAATATTGATTCTAGTATAGCCAAGATGAAACAAAAGAAACTGGAGGGTTGAAACTACAAATCTCTTGGCTTGGCAGGATTACCATCGTTAAAGTGCGAGCATTGCCTAAACTTATTATAAGGTAGTTAAAATATTCAAAAGTTTCATTTGATTTAATCTGTTATGAATGGATGATTTTGGAATTACAAGATTCCCAAAGTTTAAGCTAAGGTACTGCATAGGAAAGCCATGACATTACCAAACATGAGACTATTAGTGGGTACCTGTTTTTACTGTTTTAATGTGATTGATGAGAGGACACACCTGCTGGGATATAGGGCACGTGGACCTCTCTGTGCCTCTGAAAGAATGGGCATATTTTGTGGAACACGATGAGTATGACATGTGAGGCACACGACTGTAGGGAATCTAAACCATGTTGGCCCACGGCCATACAGCTGGCATTTTGCACACTTCGTGGCCTTCTGAAGTAGTCCAACATTTTGGGGGGCAAACTGGTGGAAATGTGCTATGCCAGTAATCCTCTCCGGATTTGTAAGTGGGGAAAACAGCTACTTTCAAAACCCAGCCAGCCGATAGGTATTGGGGCGGGGCGGGGCGGGGCGGGGCGGCTTTGCTGTACTTTTGAGTCCCGAGGATCTTATTTACTCAGAATTCCTTCTCGCTGAAACTAGAATTCGCTATCGGAAGCTATCGTGCAATTACTTCAACTTTTTTTGCTTAGCAGACAAAAGACAGAGGAAGGGGCGAGAAATTCGTGCACACTGAATTGCAACCCAATTTCTTGGGGTGTAGTCCCGCGCATGTTTGAACACAAGTCCGAGAGCTCCCTGCATTCGCTAGTCAGCATGCTAGTCAGTTGCAGGACTTTCTTTGTGTCTAAACATGAATAGGGCTGCACCTTGAAGGCTGAGGTCCACTGCCCTTTTGTGGGAGTAGGTCGCACCGAAATCAACGGGACTTCTTGCTTCTTCGGATTACATAAGTGAAAATTCACGTTACTCCACACCTCCCACTTCACGCTTTTGCGGATCCGAACCTGACAACAAGCAGAAGCGTGAGCTGCACACATGCGCCTTCTCTCTCGCCAGACACTGTCGTAGCTGGGCTGAAATTAGCCCTGCAGGCCAACCTCCGATACGTCCTTTCGCTATGCAGCTCAGCAGCTGCTTTAAAGAGGCCGAAGCCATGCAACGACGACGCGCGACAGGCACATACACCGAGCGCGACTCAGTAAGACGGCGGAGCCCGCCATAGCGCGCACAAAAACGGGGCGGGCTTAACTTTTGACAGCGCGGCCTGGATCCTCAGGTTGGAGGAGCACTCACGGCTCTGCCCGCCGGCCGGCCGGCCCCCCTCCGCTCTGCGCCTTCCCACCTCGGCGGCTCCGCACCGCCTCTCTCCAGGACGGCGGCGAAGGTGGGAGAGGAGGGGCCGCCGCCGTCGCTCGGCCTCCCGTCCCTGCCTGGGCGTCCCCACCCGCGCGTCTCGCCCTCCCACACGTCCTTCCTGAGCAAAGCCCGCCTGGGAAGGCGACGGGGCCTGGCGGGCAGCCAGTGAAATGGCGGCCGGGACGAGCTGAAGGGGGAGGGCGAGCGCAGAGCCCAGCTTCGCCTCGCTGCGCCCCCCGCGCGTTCGCGGGCGTCTCTCGCCATGAGGCTGCTCCGGGCGCTGCTGAGAAGCGCCTCGCCGGTCTCTATCCCGCAGCAGGTGGATTTCTACTGCCGCTTCTCCCCTTCCCCGCTGTCCATGAAACAGTTCCTCGACTTCGGTGAGTGAGCGCAGCTAAGCGGGTCGGAAGACGTGGGGTCTTCGCCGTGCGCCTCCAGCAGCGCCTCCCCTTTGCCGCTTGCGCTACAACGCACATCTTTCCTGGGTCCACCATTTTCCTTTTCCTGGCGGGACTTGGCGTGAAGTGTAGAGTGGTGCAACCTTCTCCCGCCCCGCTAGATAAGGATTTGAAGTAAGAAGGGGAAGAACGCCTCGGAGGGGGAAAAAACGCAGGGCAAGGGCAGAAGGATGGCGGGCCGCTCGCTCGTTTCGGGGTTCCTTGTGCAAGGACGTGTGCGCCGCACAAACCTTCGGAAAGGGGGGGGGCGCCCCTTCTCACGCCCTTGCTCGTGGGTCCGAGGAAGGCCTGAAGGTGACGCTTTAAGAAAATGAATCCCTAGACCAGCCGCCCCCTATCCAGTGCCATGCGGATGTTTCGAACTACAGCTCCCAGCATTCCCACCCGTTAGCCATGCTGGCAGAGGTTGATGGCTGTTGAAGTCCAAAACAGCTGGAGGGCAGCAGGTTGGGGAAGGGTGCCGTACGTGCACCTCTCACAGTTAGCCCTGCGTAATAGAAGCAATTAAGGACATAAGGGTACCTCGAGGCACTTAGGTGCAAACAAGTTAAGGATTAGGGCCATATGTTTACTTAAAAGCATCACTGAACCTGATGCCCCTTAATGAGGAGCCTCAAAAGCAGCTGTTTCCAAAACCGGAAATGACAGAGTGGCTATTTCAGGCAAATAACATGCTTACAAGCAAATCTTTACAGAAGCTTGTGCAGTTTGAACAGAGAAATGTGATGCTGATGTGCAATGGATCTTGATTTGATATAGCACTCTTTATTCTCTGATCAGATAAAAGGTAATGGTGCTTGTTTTAAAAGATTGCTCCTTATTCTCGAATTTTTAAACTCTTTCCTGCATGCCCATTATTTCAGAAGACTCCTGTTCCCAGTAGACTTCACAATACTGGCATTTGATATTTTTGAAGATTTCTCATGAAGGTTTGTAGTGTGGGAAGTTGTATGTGCAAGCCTACTAAAATGAGTAATGTAGACAGTGAGGGTGTTTATAGGTTTTTCTCCTCATTAGTTAACATTTATTGCAAGTAGGTTCCTGTAAACTATCACTACAGCTCAGTTTTGTACCCAGTATCTCTTGAGGAGCCTAATTAGTCTTCAGGCACTGGGTTTACAGTGCAATCTTGTGTCTGTTTAACTTGGAAATAAGTTCCATTGAGCTCAGGAGGGCTTGCTCCTGGCTAAATGGTGATAGGAGTGTAGTCTTATATGATATTTTAACAGTTTCATCCATATTGTTCAGAACTAAATAAGCATGTTTCCTTTAGTATGTCTGCTTGCAGCACAATTGTAATGCCATCATTTGTGAAGTTACAGTGGTATGTCATAATCTTATAGTATATCTGTTAGTAGAAGAATTCTCGGCGGTGACTTCAGTGTTATATAGTTATTTTGTTTGCAGGGCTCAGTAGCATCAAAACAGTTGTGAAAGCCAAGGTGTATCTCTTAAGTATTTGGAGAAGTGTAGTGGACACATGCCAGGCAGGTGTAATTGGTGATTCAGCCCTAAATTGAGTATTAGCCAACCTTACAATGATAGGCCACTATCCAACTTTGCCCTTGCTCAGACAAGTGCAACTTGAAGCGAGATCAAACTGATGCTTCCAGAATAGGGCATTCCCCATTCTAGAAGTATTTGTGTGTGCCAGTTTCTTGGACTGCATTCTAGTTTCCCTACCTAGCAGTTGTTTTTGCTAGCATAACATGATTGGTATTGGCATCCTGCCACTGTTGGATACTTGTTGGTTGTTTTGGTTTTTTGTACACCATTCAGAGACTTTAGAATTGGACAGCATATAAACACTTTAAACAAATAAGTAAATAAATACCCAGTATAACTGGGAAGTGAAAAATCCTGTCCCTTCAAGTGCTTTTGAGCTGTTACAAGTAGCTGCTGCAGTTACTCAAACTGCATTTGAGTTACTCAAATTGCATGAAAGAAAGTAGAAACATCCTCAGAGGAGAAAATATGCTGCAGTGTAGTGGTTTCTCTTTAACTGCTTATGGAGCACTTAACATGGATAGGATTTATGCTAGACATCAACAAGGTGACATGATTATATATTGTCCTTGTCAACTTTTGGTAGTAACTGCTATCATTTTATCTTGTTTTTAATGTGTTGGCCTGGTGGAAGAGCAGTTATAGGAGCCTGCGATCCACCTCTGTTCTGCAGCACTAACATGCATAGGAGGACTGCCAGTAGGAATGAAAACTGGCGCTTGGCTCTGTGGGCCCTCTTTACTTTTGACTCCTGGCATCCCTACATTTCATTGCACAGGTCTGCATGCAGGTGCTTCAATTGCTGCTTTCTTGACTTCTCAAAGTATTTCCTCAGAGTTCTTCTACTAGTCTGTCTTGCAAATGAACTGTCAGGAGGTGCACAACACCCTTCAACCATGCCGAAACAGTCCACTGCCTCGCTGCCAAGGATTACATGAAAAGAGCTATCCAGTTCTAAATCATCTTGATGCACAGGCTTGTGGCAAACTTAGCGGAAGATTTATCTTGCCCTAATGACATACTTGCTTCTTTTTCTACTGCCATAGTAATCATACTCCAGTTGATTTCTTTAGAGGGCAGGTAGCTATCCCATCCGGTATTTGTAAAGAAGAAAATACTTTTGAATAACATATCATTGCCCATTTATTTTTAAAGAACCAATATGGAGATGGCTGTGCAAGAACCCATAACTTAGAACTCTTGAAATCTTGATAACTTAATTAGATTTTGGCATGGGTGATTTATATAAAAAACAGCCAAGTCAGTATCATTACATTTTCTTCTGCAAGAATTTGCACAGTTGCACTATTAATAATATATCAGGATCTTATTAGTATTTTGTACTGTCATCCTGTTCCAGAATGGATATACGTCAAATATACCAATTCAGAGTGTTGATATTAACATACAAAGTTCTAATCGGCTTGAGGCTGGGTTGTCTGAGGGAATATCTGTGTCCATGTATCATAGACCACTAAGATCCTTGTCAGAGATCCTTCTCCGAGTGCCACCCCCAATGAAGTGAAGGGGGAAATGGCTAAGAGAAGGGCTTTCTCTGTGATTGCACCCAACTTATGGAACACCCTTCCTAAAGAAGTGTGCTTTGCACCATTGCTACATTCTTTCTGGCACCAGGTAAAGACTTTCTTGTTTAACATGTGTCTTTAGTGGCCAAATCAGTTTTATTCTGTTAATTTATTGCTGCTCGCTCATTATCTTCTTCTACAGTGAATAACTGATTTTATATTTTTGGTGGATTTTATCCTTGTATCTTGATTTTATTCTTGAATTTATTGTTTCACTGTTGTCTGCCCATGCTTTTATTGTGAGCTGCCCAGAGAGCCCTTTGGACTATAGGGGGGCAAATAAATATAATAAATAAATAAGTGATCTGTCTGTTGTGACTTCCCTGTGACTCTGCTTCTTTTCCACCAGGATCTGACAATGCTTGTGAGAAAACTTCATTTATGTTTCTGCGACAAGAGTTGCCAGTAAGATTGGCAAACATAATGAAAGAAATAAGTCTGCTTCCAGACAACCTTCTCAAAACCCCTTCCGTCCAGCTTGTCCAGAGTTGGTAAGAATCTCCTTTAAGAACAAACAACACTGAACTTGATTGTTTAATAAGCATATGTGATTTTATCTATCTAGATGGGCTATTAGGAACCCAATCCTAAGTGGGTTAACTTGAAAGTAAGACATACTGGCTCCATTCATGCAGTGTAGTCAACCATGGCAGGAATGACCCATGGCAAACCTCAGGGTCACACTCTTCCCTTCTCCCATGGGGAGGTAACTCTGCAAGATGCTGGGGAAGACCACCCTGGCTGTGAAACCACCACCAGGCCTGAACCAAAAACTTGGACTATCTATGAAGTTCTGAGCATTTGTGTGTGCATATAAAATCAGAAGATACCTTGGAGGAGAAGCCCTAATATGTGCAGCACGGACAGAGCAGTACAGAAGACTGTTAAGCTTGTGGTTTTGCACAAGACCATGGCATTGGCACTAGTGCCAATTAACTTACCGTATTTTTCGCTCTAGGAGACGCGCCTGACCATAAGACGAACCTAGTTTTTAGAGGAGGAAAACAAGAAAAAAATATTCTGAATCAAATGGGCACATAATCACAGGCACATTCCCCATGGGCTGCACATTTGACAGACTTACTGCACTCACATATTCGCTCTGTAAGACGCACAGACATTTCCCCTTACTTTTGGGGGGGGGGGAGTGCGTCTTATAGAGCAAAAAATATGGTACTTGGGACTATTTTGTTGATACATGCTTCTTAATATTGTGCAGTAGTGGTGCCAGGTGGATGCATAAAAACAGTAGCAACATTTAATTCCGTGAAATACAGGGCAGCCTTAATGGCAAATGTTTTTGTGATGCCAGGAGTAGGGAAGGGGATGCTGCTGTTACTTGAGGTGCAAGCCTATGCCTGTTTAGTGCACAAAAGCCCCAGAGCTCTCGGCACTTCCCTGCTGTGCTGTGCTGGCTGGGAAAAGCTCTGTGTTTCAAGCCTTTTTCTGTGCAATCAGATGTAGGAGTATGCCTTTAGGGGATTAAATAGGGGAGTAGACTCCTGGTTGGCAAGGTCGCTAGGGCAACTGTGGTAGTGTCCCCCTTTGCTGGGAAGTCCAGAACCCCTGCTTCATTGTCTTGAATGGCCAGCCTCCTGCCAAAACTATTGCATGGCAAGGAATGAGTGAACGCATATCTCACCGTGGAAAGATATACTTTTGGACTTCAATACTTAGTACTTTTTTTACATAAATGATAAAAATAACACACTTTGACAAGTATGTTCTCTTACTTTGTGGGAACAGGGTGTGATTATGCTGGAAGTTGGAACCATACCCTTTACTTCCCTAGAATATTATTTTGGCAAATGCATGCACTTGTCCTTTGAAAAAAATATTAATATTTCAGTCAAAATATGTATCACAAATTCTGAATGACGTCCACTGTTTATAGGTATGTCCAAAGTCTTCAGGAGATCCTCGATTTTAAAGACAAAAGTCCTGAAGATTTGGAAGCTATTTCTTGGTAAGCACATGTTGCCATTTTAATGGACTTGAATATACTGTAGCAATGGATTCTCTAAGCTCTTACTAGGCAAATCCTGTTCTAGCAAGAGAGACTGAGTGCCATCCTTTTATGCTTTTTCATGAGTAGGTAAGCCCTGGTGTAGAACTCAGTAGGAGAGCATAGAGTTCTCTGAATGAAAAGAAATCATAGGTATATACATTATTCCTTGGACATAATCTATTGGCCTTAATCAGAAGTAAATCCTACTGAGTTCCGTGAGACTTCTCTTCCGATAAGAGAAGTTAGTATAGCAGCCTCGATTGTATTTGATCAAAGGAGATAAGAGAAGGTTACAATGCCACCTTCTGTGCTAAAGATCCATATGAAGCAGCCAGTTCTGAGCTCAGCATTCAGTTATCATTTTAATTGAACTGATTAGTCTGCTAATTCCATCAAGTGCTATTAATGATGTAGGGTTGGATGTTTATATTAAGAATAGACCAGTTGAAACACACAGAACCTAACTTCATCATGACTAGGAAGTCCCACTTCAATGGGTCTGCTTTAAGTATGGCCAACTCTGGATTCAGCTTGTGCTGTTATGGTTGTCCCCACTCCTGGTCAAACATGGGCACACGCTGATACGCAAATAATCCAGGACAAACTGAAATTGCAGAGCAGCATGTTGCTGCTTTAATTTCCTCATGTGTACTGCCTGCTTCCCAGAGACATGTCAGCTGTGCAAGGACCAGTGAGGGTATTGCATGGCAAACAGACCTTGTCTTCCTCTTGGTGTAGCACTTCCTGTCTGAGATGGGACCCGCATTACTCCCCGTGGGAGAGGGAAAATACAGTTACTTTGGGTTTAATTCGAAAAACCATTGAATGAATTTGAATCTGTTAAGGAAATCCACAGCTAGAATATGATAAATTGATTATATTGGAATTTTTTTGGCAACAATATTAGGCCCATTTGAATTTGATGAGTATTCCCCCTGATCTTAGTGGGACTTATTTCTGAGTAGTCATAGCTAGAATTGTACCATAGGTGGTGTTTCTTAAGAAATTGTGTATTTCAGTGTTTATTGTGGATCAAATCTATTTTCAGTCTTCATGGGTACATAGATTAAGGGATTAAGGGGCAGAACATACTGCACCAATGCAGGAGTAAGTGTAGTGCATCAATCCTTCATTTTTTGTATGTTTACTCTTTTGGTTGTAGATTCTGTTGATTGGTTTCTTCCCAAGACAATCATAAGTGGCACAGGTTTGGAATTGGTCCTTGAAACTGCTGTGTATTCTAATAGAGTTGCTTGGGTGAAGCTTTTGGTTAATGGCATTTTCAAGAAGCCTGCAAAAGAGGCAGAATAAAAAGAGCAAGAACAATAATCATTATTAACAATAAGTGGCATTTTTAAACCATACAACAGCCAGAGCTCTCTGGGCAGTTTTCTAAAGTGTAAATATTTGTGATGAAAATAACATTTTAGTTTAAAGAAAGCTTGCAAGATTACACTGAGTTAAAAATTCTGTCCCCTCAAAAGGATGAGATTTTTACCTCTCAGGGTACATAGTAATTGTAGTTTCTGGAAAGACTGCCACCGACAGAAGTGTGCAGAAGCAATTTTTGCCAGTTTCCCATCCGTGCCACTACTATTCTGGAAGGCCTCTAAATTCTCCATAGCAAATTTTGAGGGGGCTTCAAAGGGATGGAAGAATTCATGAAATGCTCTGAACTCTCTTATGCCATTGGATGCATCCTATGAGTGTAGTTCCACTCATGGAATCCAAGCCATTATTTCTTAAGCACCCGAGAAAAGAGAATATTGTAGAAACTTGAGCAATGGGCATTACTCTGAAAATAATCAGGTCTGTGCTAGGAAGTATATCCCCATATCCAAATGTACTCTCCACCTATAGGAAATCCATCACTTCTTGTGATAAGTAAAGAGCACTGAGATATTTTTGTTACTGTTTAAACTGCTATCTTTTTCCTGCACGGTTGAATGGAAGCTGTGATTTGCTTCCAGGAACAGGTTTGCTATTCTTGAATACTCCTTAAATCAATTTGACTGACAGTACTTTTGATTTCAGTTTTACAGATACAGTGATAACAATCCGGAATCGTCACAACGATGTTATTCCTACCATGGCTCAGGGTGTGATAGAATATAAGGATAACTATGGTGTTGATCCAGTGACCAGTCAAAATGTACAGTATTTTTTAGATCGTTTCTTCATGAGTCGCATTTCAATCAGAATGCTTCTTAATCAGCACAGTAAGTACTGTTGATTAATATGAGACAACATTTAGCTACAGCAAATGAGAGCTATCCTTTAAAAATAAAAAACTCCTATTTACAGCTCTTTCTAGTATCTTCCTCATCAGTATACAGTGGTAAATGCTTGCCAAGTGATTAAAAGAAATCTTTGCTCTCTGAATGTAAAAATTTGATGTTCTTGTGACCTATAAATTATGAAACCACTTGTGATGCATTCTGTTTTCCTCTTTTGTTGCCAGCTTTGTTGTTCGGGGGAAAAGTAAAAGTTAATCCGGCTCATCCAAAACATATTGGAAGTATTGATCCTAAATGCAGTGTTGTTGATGTTATAAAAGGTAAATTCAGGTGGACATACCACAGAAAATGCATGTGGCAGCAATATAAATGGCCTGGCACACGGCTTCAGTTCTGCAGAAACATACTGGGAATGCTTTTATTCAGGACTGTGGTTCTTGGTTAACATTAAAGCCTAAATTATAGTCTTGCATACAGATTAACTTGGCCTAATTTAGGCTGCACTTCTAAAACTAGAAGGATGGATTACAATTCTAACTTGCTTAGTAAGGGGAAAGCTTCAGCAAGCTCATATGCGCTCATTTCTTAGTAAGCATGCTTCAGATTATGCAGCTATTTTGTTTTCTCTTGCACTCTTGCAAATAAACTCTCAAAAGTAGCTAGCCTGCAATAAATTGTACTAGCCTCCAGGGACAGAGAGCCGCCTTTCTGTGCTGATGCTTCTTTTAGCAGCCCACTTGGGTGTGCTGGACAGAGAGGAGGGGGTAATTAATTCCACCCCTTCTTTGCTAGTCGTCTTGCTTACCTGAATTCCTGGTGACTACCAGGCTAATGCTTAAATACAGGACCATTATTCTGCTTAATTGGGTTTTGCCTAATAGGGGATGGGAATAACGACAAAATGCTGTGAAAGCAGTGAAGCCTACTTCTGACCACTGGAAATCTTAATCCACACTTTTTTTGGCTTCAGAGTTTTTGCCACACACTGCCCATATAAAGTACTTTCAGATAGATTCACTGCACTACCTGTGTTAGAAGCTTTCCTGTTTTTGTTTTTAAAAATCTTAGATTCTGTGGAAGCTGAAATATTTGGATAAGATCAACCATGAACACAACTCAAGTGAAAGTAGTAATTTAAGTTGACCAAAAATGGGCAACCCTTGGAATTTTATTCCCAAACAGTAAAAACTGCAGTCCTTGAGCTGTTTCCCTTAAGAGCTCTCTAACTTTTTGTAGCAACTTGCTAGCAAATGGTGCAAGCCAGGAAGCATTAATGGTGTTGTGACTTTAATTTTCTGCAGATGGCTATGAAAATGCAAAGCATCTCTGTGACTTGTATTACATGAGCTGTCCAGAACTTGTACTTGATGAGCAGAATGGTAAGAATTGGAAGAGGAATAACTTACTGAAGCAAACTGTAAGCTCTTCACACCACCCCTGTGAAGTATTTTTTGCGACCCATTTCCTTTTGTACATGTCTCATTTTAGGCCACATATGTGGTCGGGCAAGCGAGTCTGTTGGTGGAGCACCCTATACTTGACTGGCCTGCCATGCTGACAGGTGCTAGCTCTGGGGCATTGCATCTGTAGTGCAGGGGAAAGACTGGGGCCACTTTACCTGTTAGAGATGTAAAGGGTTGAATCCAGATGTACGCGCATACATTTGGTTTGGTACAAGCAAACTTCCTCGATGCTTCGTTTCCCTACAACCCTTCCAAACCTCTGAAAATGCAGTAATGAATGGTTGTGGTGTTGGGTATTCCCAGAAATAAAGTGGATGTGCCTGCAATGTGTATTAGGGAATATTTCATGACACGAAGGGTTGGGCGTTGTGTAGCACCTTCTGTGCTGAACGTGGAGTATACTGTTGACCGGGTGTAGGGTTCATCTAGGTGCAACCTTGTTATGCCATAACTCACCCTACCCTGATGGTGTACTAGCCGTTTCTTCCTTTGACTCCTCTACTCTTTTAATGGGCTGGCTGAGCATGGATTCTGAATCTGTATATGTTACAGAATGAATAGCACAGTTGGGTCAGGATCAGGGTTTGCTTTTACTGGGCAGTCCTAGAAGGATTGAAATTGTAAACATGATATAGGAGCTGCTTGGCTTGTGGGAGAGCGGCAGCATCCTTCAGTGGTGGTTATTGTAAGGAGCAGTTGCAGTTATATGAATAAGGGTCAATATAAGCAAGAAACGAGCTGTGAATAACACCAGGGGCCAACAGTGTGCCTCCACTGTGAGCCTCCCTGAGCAGAAGTGTCTCCAGCAGAGACTCTCCTTGGCATTCCCCAACCTTTGGGATGGAGAAGGTGAGAGAGGGCCTGTTCACTTGCCTCCAGGCTCCGGAAACCAGCTGTCATCCTCCCTCTTGGTCTCCCGGTGCATGGAAAAGTCCCACTCAGTTCAGAAAGCATCAGGGATGTTACAGAACTGTGGCCTCTTTTTTGCTGCCATTGATCATTCTTGTGTGGTTGCTGTTTTTAAGTTATTGTATTGCTGCTTTAATTTTTAAGTGCAGTTTAAACTTGGTTATTCCTAATGGTGTGAACATTTCTGTTTCCCAGTTGTTGTTTGGGTGCTTTGTTTCTCCTAGCTATGTTGAACATTTTTTTAAATTGGTGAATAGGACAAAAGCAGGCCAGGCCAATGAGTTGCAGGCATGTATAGTTGCCAGTGCATGTGTCAGTCATGTTTAAATGATGTGAGGGTTGTATGGAATGTATCAAGCACGGGTGGGGAGCTGATGGCTCTCCGGTTGTTGGTCTCATTGCTTTGACTGTGGGCCAGAATGGCTGCCTGGAATCAAAGTCTGGTGTCTGGAGGTTTCCATAAAGGCTGCTTCATTCTTCTTCTTCATTTATAGATAGGAAAAAGTATTCTAGAGCAAGAGGGCGGTCAAGATCAAGTTGTGTAACACTAGCCACAATCCTGCTTACTCTGAAGATGTTTTTAGCTGTTGTTTAGGAATCTAGTGCAACACCTATATACAAGTTCATGCGTCCAGCATTGTAGGTGGGTGTTTAGCTAGTATCAGATTCAATCTGCATGTGTGTGTGGAGGGAGAGGGGGTCCTTCCAAAGACAAATCCAGACTTGGATGGAGATAAGAGATTTATCAGCTTGAACAGATAAATTGACACGCAGCCTTCTGCCACGCTCTCCTCTCCGGTAGAAGCAGCACCTGCCACTCCTTGGGCACAGATCTGGCTTAACTTTAATTGTATAGATACATGAAGTGAGGTGACTGGTCTAATCATTACAAGAGGGAAGTAAATTGGCTTTCCCAACTGCTGGCTCTAACAGTACACAGAAGTCCTTGAAACTATCTGAGATAAGAGGACAGATAGTGAAGTGAGACGGGCAGCATGTGAGGTCCAGAATTACTTTTGTTCAGTCATGCCTTCAGTATTGTGATAAACAATTAAAATAGTTGGATTTTTAAATGTGCATTACAGTCCACTTCTTTGCATGTCTACTCAGAGGTTAGCCCCTTTGAATTCAGTGGGACTTGCTTCCAGGTAAGGATGCATATTGCAGCCTTGGACAGAAAACCAAAACTTTCTAAAACCTAAGTAAGAAGAGAGGCTGGAATTACCTCTATGAATGGCAGTTCCCCCCTCACCCACATGGCAAACTGCTTTTGAAATGCTTGCTATTATAACTAAGAGGAAAGGAGGTCAAGTGTTTAAAGGGTGGGGGGTGCAAATATAGCCCAAGTGCCACCCACAAGCCCTTGAGAAGGCGTCATTTTTCAGATCCAAGCTGTGGTAGCCTTAAAGGATCACGATTAGTCGTACTTGGGCCTTGCCAAAACTGACAGTAATCGTCCAACATTCAGGTGATTGTTTTCGTTCCCCTTTTTTGCAGTAAAATCACCAGGGCAGCCCATGCAGGTGGTGTATGTGCCATCACATCTCTACTACATGGTTTTTGAACTTTTCAAGGTTCGTACCAAGCACTGATACGTTGCATGTACTCTTATTTTCCCTGTTTTCCATAGTCAAACTGTCAAGAAAGACACACATAGTAATTCCTCATACCTGGTATGTTGACAAGTAAGTAGAAAAAACAAGTGCCTGAAAACAACGCGCCACACACCTGAGCCCGCCATGGAGTCGTCCACCGGTGTTCTGTCGGCCCGCCATCCTTGCCTGGGCCTCACGCAGGCACATGGCCGCCATTTCTTACTATGCGAGTGCCCCCATCCCTCGCCCCTCACGCACACAGTCCTCCGCCAGGTGCACGTCCCTTCCGGCAAAGCATCTGGGCATAGCTTGTTGAGAGTGAACCTTACACAGGGCCCAGAAACCTGCACGTGACTGGGGAGCATCCTGGTGCCGGCCAGCCTGCCCAGCGAAGGTGCAGGGGAATGGGGCTGGTAGGGCGCGGTATCCCCTCCGCGCATGCTGTGCCTGGTGTGGAATTGGCAGGGGCGGGCTCTGGGTATTGTGTTCCTTTGTTATTCTGTAAGTGAATGGAAACCCTTTCCTCTGATACACCAGAGCCCTCAGGCACTATTATATTCCCAGTGAAACATCTGGCGCTCTTTTAGGGCAGTCTGCCTGCAGAAATCCTTTGCTTACAAAGCTGGCTGAATACATACCAGTTGACCCAGCAGAGTCACTGTTCCGTAAAAGCAGGAAGCAGTTTCTTTCAAAACTTGGCAAAACAAGTGTGCACATGAAAAGGGAAAACATTTTCCCAGTCCGGTAGGCCAGAAAAGGCATAAGGATGTAATTTGACTGTTCCTTTCATATGTTGAACTTGTAGAATGCAATGAGGGCTACCATGGAGCACCATGCTGATCGAGGTGTTTACCCGCCCATTCACGTGCACATCTCGTTAGGCAATGAGGACTTAACTGTGAAGGTACCGGCTTTGTTTGTTCTCTCATTTCTTCCTCATAATCCTGGCAAATGGCAGGGCTATCCCAGCAAGTCTAGCCTGACTCAGCAGGGAGCCCCTCTGTGCAATTGCTGTTTCGTGCGCCCCACCAGAACACAAGGAGGAAGAGCCCACCAGGGGGATCTTGGCTGTCTTTACTCTCCTGGCATCAGCGGGGCTCAGTTCGGAGGTTTTGTCGGGGAATGGAGAGCCCTTGGATCAGGTGATCCAAAGCCACCCCTGCTTCGCCCTCCCAACACCCAGTTTTATGACCTTCTGCCGGGTATCACTGGTTTTATCTTTTTGCCCCAAGAGCTTTCCCGTTAAGACTCAGGTGAGCGCTGTAGGCGTGCTCCTGATTCCAGCACTGCTTTTGGATGTTCAGGTGGCAGCTAATGTACAGGAGTGCCTCTGTCCAGCTGCATCTCTTGTTAATAGGACAGACCTGGCCTCAGCGTCTCCTGCTTGATGGGACTTCTACGGTTCATTCTGTGTAGGGTTGAAGAGGGCTGTGAGATTTGAGCTGACCCTCCAGAAGTTCTGTATCCTGCCTTTTTGTCAAACGATCCCCAGGTTGCCCCAGCACGCCCACGTGTGGTGACGCGCACACCCAGCCACCCTTGGTCTCCTCACCGGTGGACAGGGCCAGCATGGTCTCTCCTGCAGTCTTGCATTCAGGGCCGCTCCAGCTACTCCCTCCTTGGTCAAGCTGGTCTCCCCTTGTTGGGATGATGATCTTGGGAGATGGTGTGGAGCCCCCTGGTGGTCCTTGGCCACTGATGGCAGAGGCCAGAGTGTGGTTCACGTTGCCTTTGGGACCACAGGGCAACTGGTGGTTGGAGCCGAGTTTTCTTTGGAGCGTCTTACTCCAGTATTACCTCATTTATATTGTTTGCCAATTGTATTTCCAAACCTAAGTGACAGTGCTAATTTCCCCTTAAAATCCCTGGGACAGTCTCGGACGCCTTACTTGGATCGTTTTGCACGCTCATATTTCTGCTCATCCTTTCAACGCAGAGGCTATCCTTAGTGTCCCTCTGTCACCAGGATCAGTGGACAGGCCCAGTGCGACAGGGCCTTCTTGATCATGGCACCTTCGCTGTGGAGTATCTTCTCCAAAACCAAAACAGGAAGAGCCCCAGCTGTGCTCTTCACCCATTTCCAAGCACATGGGATTTAAGGTAGCATGTGGGGAAGTTTAGTTGTGACTGCTGGAGTTCTTACTGAAACGCTTTTAGCAGGAGTCACTTTTGACATTTATATGGATAATCGTGGTTGGTTTTTAAATTTGTATCATTACTTTATCCCATCCGTTTCTTGCCTCCTTCAATCCCCAAACTGATGAAAAATACTTCAGGTATAATTTTCATACGTGTAGGCCAATATTCACTTTTTGGAGGTAGGTATTCTGTACTGTGGAGACGGCAGTGGTGGTGTCTGTGTTTAGCTAGTTCCAAGACCTGTTCTATGAGACCCAGTAATTTGTGTTGGGCTTCGCACAGTAAGGTGTATGGAACATATTCTACATGAGTATCAGTGACAGGAATTAGTATGCATGCAGAAACTCGTGTCTCTTTTTACATTCTAGATGTGTGACCGTGGCGGTGGTGTTCCTCTGAGGAAGATCGACCGCCTGTTTAACTACATGTATTCAACGGCACCCCGTCCTCGTGTCGAGACGTCACGAGCAACACCACTGGTCTGTAACCTGCGCATCATACATTATCAGCCGAGAAGTGAACGGATCGTTTCCCCTCATTTCTCCCCTGTGCACTGGCTGCTGCTTATGTAGCCACGCAAGCTGGAATGCTCTGCAGTTAGGCCAGAATAGCGTGGCAGTCCTGTGGCATCCCTGAGGCATAGGAAATGCGGATCTCTCACTCCAGGACTGGAGACAGTGGCCTGTCCCTGCATGGGGGCTGCGGTGGGGCCTGTCATTTGTGGGGGGGGGGGGCAGAATCTCTCTCAGGCCAGTTTTTCTCTGATGTTGGGAGTGCCAGTGTCAGAAGGGAGGCATGCCATGCTCTCCTGGTCCCCAGCCCCACTTTCAACCGGGCTGCAGATCTACCTTGGAGCTGGTGCAGATCAATGCCTTCCTGTTGCTTTCAGTGGCAGGGAATCCTGCTTGTTTGCTCTGCTTGCTTTGCAAAAGGAAATGAAGTGAAAAGGAGAAACACTGTCCTTTCTGTGCCCGTGTTCTGCTGCCATGAAACTTAGCAGGGCTTTAGATTCTTTGGTGGCTTCAGCGTTGGAACTGTCCGTGCCTAACAGTAGGATTTGACTGCTGTGTAACTAAGGATGCAGTCCTATGCAAATTTTGGCAGAAAAAAGGACTTCTAGAGTGGGAATTATGTGCCCTTTTCTCTCTGACCTTGCACAGAATTGCACCTTCAAGCTTGGATCCCGAGTTTCGCCTGAAACATGCAAGACCAAATGCAAGACACTTCAGTGAGGAAAATCAGGCTTGGACCAGGGATGTTCTTGCTGTTGCATGAGCTCCCTTCATACAATTAATTTTGCATATAACTGGTTTGAGCATCTGGGTGGAGCAGTGGCACTGCCTTTCCCGTCCGCGGCTGCCTGGTGTGCTGGCCAAATATTCCAAAGGGCAATCATTTTAAGTACACCCATTTTTGAGCTGTTGTGACCTGGTCCGCTGCCTTACCTGGACATGTAGACCATTCATTTGAGCAGTCCATCCAAGCAGCATAACATCTGGGTAGAGGACTAGATGGCACCTCCTCTTCCATGAGTAAAAATCACATCTGGTGATGATTAGCTGGATGTGCTGCAGCACAGGAAAGCTGCATTCTGTTAGTTCCCTTCTCCCATGTACCACTTACTCCATGATTTGTATAAGCAGCTATATATAGGGGTTAGCTGACTGAAGTAATTCTCACATTAGCTCAGTTTCTCCTGGGAGATTACAGAAACTGCTGCAGTAAAATGCATGTGTAATATTAAGGACAACTATTAGAAGAAGAGCACCCAGAAAAAGGATTGTAAGTTAATTCTGCTTCCTAAGCTCTTCTTAAAGTAGATTGCTTCCTTTAAAAACACACACACAAACCATATTCTTTGGTGGGTCAATGTCATTGTCACCCTGATTACAGTAAGAAGTTTGTGATTTTTAAAAATGTTTTTAGCACAAAACAATGTTGATGTACAAAAAAGGATTTGGGGTAGCTTCTTTTTACTAAACATTGCAGCATCCCTGTCCATCAGAGAAACTATCAACAGTATTCTGTGTTGGGACTGCAAAAGGAGGTGCTTTTATTTGAAAGGCAGTGCAAGACAAGTCCCTTCTGCCCTGCTCAGCAAGTGCAGCCAGCTAGCAGAGTTGCCAGTTGACTAGCAAGTGTTCCTGTGTTTCTAAGAGCAGCTTGCTTTGCAGACATGAGCTAATGCGGCTTTCCTGGCATGGAGGTGACCATCATCTCCTGTGAACGTCTGAAGAACAAACTGCTGCTAAAATCACTGGAAGGGGCATATTAAAAAAAATTAGCAACATTTGCTGTTAGTGCTAATTATCAGTGAAACTTTATGTAAGGTGACAATCCTTAATCCACTTACCTGAGAATATCTCAGTGACGCTTACTTTTGAGTAGACATGTATTGCACTGTGAAAGATTTATTTATTGCTCTCCAGGAGTGCTTCCAAGGTGTTAAGAAAGCAAGGCAATACATTCACAGAATGTAACAAACTCTATATAAGAAAGAAATGATAGGCAGCTCATTGTGTGGTTTGTCTGTCTTTTACTCCCTACAGATGATGGCCTGTTTGGCAGCTTGCCATGGCTTGTTTCTCTCTCTGTTCCCCTTAATCCTCCTAGCACTGCCAGCACGGATCCCAGAGGCCTTTGTTAGACTTCCTCATTCCCTGTGTCAGCACTATTTTGGCAATTAGTCTGCTGGGCTGGTCAGCTCATGAGGGATCCTGTCCCATCCCTGGTATCAGATTGCCAAATAGATTAAAGTTTCCGCAGCCTTATGAATGTGAAAATGTGTTCCCAAACTTTAAAAACTTTTTAAAAACTGTCCTCTATTGAGGCATTGTCTCCTCCTCCTCATGCCCATCTTAAGTGCTTCCTTTGCCAGCAGTACAGGGTCTGAAAAGGTTGCTTCCATCCTGTCCCTAAAGCTCCTTTTCTCCTGCGGCCTCCAGCCCACTTTTGGCCCCCCGCACCCTCTGCATGCTAGCCTCTTGCCCCCACTGGCTTCCATTGTTAGCAGACAGATGTGGATATGGGCTACAGAACAGCAGGTTTATTCAAGGCAGACAAGTGAGGCGGATCGCTAAAGTGTATAAATGGCAAAGCAGAGTGGTAAAGCTGAGGAGGAAACCATGCAAAATTCCTAGCAGCAGATGTTCACTCCTGTGTACCTGCACGGATCCATCAGGAAAGAAATGCAAATGTGTGCATGGGGTTCATTCTTTTTTATGAACTTTTTTAAATTGAAAAAGATTTGTATTGAAAAATAAGAACTCCTCCTGAGGCAGAGGCTGCTGAAAAGGGATATGGGAGAATGGTGGCAGCAAGATCGCAACTCTCTAGCCAAGGCCAGCAAGTCATGATAAAACCATCCTTCCAGATTCTGATGTCACACCAAGCCATCATGAGAACAAGCTGCTCTAAACAAGCTTGCGAAAAGCAGGAGTTCTCATGGTATTTTGTTTATGGAAATGAATCTCAATGGAGAAACTGCATCAGGTTCGAATACCATGCTAAGCCATTCTGCAGCCATCCAGAGTAACATCTAGGGTGGCTGTAGGGGCGATAGGCAAACCAGGTCGGCACGTCAAGGGCAGCTGTAGAAAGAACAAGCACAGGAAATGTCGGCACTGCCAGTTCTTGTTCTTCAGATGCTTCAACTGACTCAAGTATGTTTTTCGCTTAGGCTGGATTTGGTTATGGCTTGCCAATATCACGCCTCTATGCTCAGTACTTCCAAGGAGATCTGAAGCTCTATTCTCTAGAGGGTTATGGGACAGATGCGGTTATCTTCATAAAGGCATGTCATTTACTACCTATTTTGACAACCCTTTTTCTATTTAAAGTTCAGAATCCCGTAATACCCAGTTATATTAATTTTGCACTGCTCTCTCTCTTTTCCCTGAAGGCTTTATCAACGGAATCTGTTGAAAGGCTGCCTGTGTATAACAAATCCGCTTGGAGACATTACACAGCGAATCATGAAGCCGATGACTGGTGTGTCCCAAGTAGCGAACCGAAGGACATGACAACATTCCGCAGTACATAGCAGGATGGGACAGACTTGCTAAGCTGTAGAAGGCCCAGAGCATGCCAGATCATGTCGGCTGGTTTGCGTTCTGGCTTGGTCCAGCACTACTTTTGTATAGGGGAGCATACATTTCATGAAACAGAAGCTAAAAACCACGTGTCTTTCTCTAGTGTATTGTGCAGTGTTCATTTTTAAAAGTGAATATTCTGCTTTGCCTCAGCAGCTGGGTATGGTGTACACATTCTAGATTTGATATAAAGAGACCAATGCACAGCTTGTTCAAGTATTGTATTATTTAAATATCAAGCAACGAATGAAACATTCATGGGATGTACTATATCTTTATAAATCTCTGGGAATCAATCCATTGTGCTAGCACAGCACTTTCTTCTCATGGACTCCAAAAGTGCTTTACAATGTGAGAGATACTAGGTAAACAGATCATCATGTTTTGTTTAAATATTTCTTGGAATCAACAGTTCATTATTTCTGTTAATTGCTCCAAGCAATCAGCTATGTACCTTTAAATTTTGCACATAGTTCAACTAAATTTAAAAGCAGTTGGGTTTGGTTTATTTTAACGGAAAATTAAGCACATACCACTAAAATGAATGGCACTTGAAAATACTGAACTTTGGCTGGATCATGTTTTCCTACCCTGGGAAATTTTAATTAAGATCTTTAACTTGCAGTACTGTGTAAAAGTGTTATTAATAAGCAGATTAAGCTGAGGTAATTTAATTTTTAAAACAGTATTTGCCTCAGTTTAAAATTGTCAGACATTTTGTATTTAGACATTTGTCAGTAGCTACAAATGAAAAAAATTCTAAGCACCAAGAGCCACTGATTTCAAATAGAGAGGTTACGCAGGTCTTCATCAGTCCAAATCTATACATTCAGAAGCAGCTCCTATTTATTAGGGACTGTTCCCAGGATAAGTAGGCATGCGTTTGCAAATTTACTCTCCTGTAGAAATCAACTTTTGACTGACTATTGCTACTATGTTTTAGGCATATCAGTGATACTATCATTAATACTTCACTAGCTCCAAAATACAGCAGGCCTTTGGTTGTTAAAGCAGTTTGGTCACTATGCACGCTGCTTTTTTGACATCTGATTGCTGTGGATTTCTTGCTTCGCATGAGATGGGCTCACTTGCTTAGAAATTGGAGCATTAGTAGCATTTTGCTACTCCACATTCTGTTCAAAGTTCTAGCCTTCTCTATGTATTTAACTGCTTATTGTCTCCCCACCTCCTTCCTTACAGATTTGACTAATAACCCAGGTGAACTAAGGTCATAGCCTTAAACCACTTCCATTTGACTGCAGTTGAATTCTGGTATATTTGGAAATCAGTTATTTCACAATTTTAGAGCACATTCCCATCTGCCTACTCAGAAGTATGTTCTACTGTGTTAAAATGAAATTAATCCAAGGAAAATGGATAAAGGAGTGTAGCCTTAGACTATAATCTTAAAAATGCTTAGTGGGGAGTATGCCCTATTGAACTCAGTGAAACAAGTGCTCTGTCAGTGAACTGAATTCTAGAAACCAAAAGAAAAATTGCAACTCACTGAAGGGCTAGCTAATAAATTACGCATTCATCCTGAAGAAGTTATTCAACAGGTGGTCCAGTTTAGTCATTACTGGAACACATACAGCTTGCAATTCTTGCTACAAGCCCAGACTTTTTAATTTGGCTGAGGTATGTTTGTTACTAGCAAACATTCTTTGCTTCATGAATTATACAAACTTAGGCCTGTGTGACTATTTCTTGCTACTATACTTAATATTCATTGTATGTAACATTCAGTGCTAAATCTTGGTGTATCACTTCCAGTGGAAATAGGCAAATTCCAGTCAGTCTGATCATAGGATACTTCATGAGCTATGATCTTTAACACTATGGCTTGTTGTGGATTGAACTACCCCAAATTAATCTTTAATTAGTTCTTAGGGTAACTTTAGGTTGTAAATTTACAAACCAGCCATGGCTTCAGGTTCCCATGTCATGGAGCATTCTACAATTGCACAAATCGGAGGTTTTATTTTCAAAGTAGCCGTGTCCTGCACTACTGCTTTGTAAATTAGGTCACAAGAAAGATGGAGGGATCCCTACAATGTTCCCCCTTTCATTTTAGACTCTCTGCTGTCCACAGATTGTTTCTATCTTTAATTTACATGCATGAGTTCAATTATTTAATTTCTGCCCATAATCCTCTGTTAACATGCATTTTCTGGCATTAAGGTAGTTTTAGGCAGTTAGCACAAACTAGGCAGAAGCCAGTGAGGCAGAGAAATATAGAGCAGTTCAGACCTTTTAACACCCAGGGTCACAGTGTGTGTCTGCTGGGGTGGCAGGGAGCCCACACGTGCACACATTCATATGCAATTCATATATACCACTCACCCTCACTAATGTATATGCTCTAGTATTAAATTTTCTAAAGATGGGGCTGCATAACTTGTACTGCATTCTTTGATTGGGTGGGAGTAATTTGTCTGGCTGAACTCTCTCTACACACCTTTATACGCACACTTAATTGCTTATAGCGTCAACATTTCCTCTTGTCACCACTAAAACAGGAAAGTTTCAGGAACTGACTCAGTGGTTCTTGTGGAAAATCATCCTGGATACCCTTTTCAAGAACCATAGCACTCCTCCTCAGAGAGTTTCCCTTTTGTGGGGAGGAGTGGTAGCTGCAGATGCTGGGCATCCCATTGGCTGCCAAACGAGGGTGGGTGTACTTCTTGCATCATGAATTTATGGCCATAATTCTAACTACATTTTACTCAGGGAAAAATACCTTCTGACAATAATGGTTGCATTAAATGTGTTTTGAGTGGTGGGCAAAACCAGACTTACATTTTTTGGAGGAATCCATTTTATTGTAGCAGGAGATCCCCCAGCTGTTCCCAATCAAGAACAAAGATTGGACAATAAAATGTGCTCTAAAGATTAAAGATTTCTCTTAATACAGCCAATAGCAGCCCAGTAAAGCAACTGTAAGGCCCTCACCAAGCCTACAGAACTTTGTTATTTGGACCAATCTTGTTTGGAAGCAAACATTTTTATTACATGAATGGTGAGTCAAGAACATTAGGAGATGCAATACTATAAAAATAGTAACATGTAGCATGCGTTTACCATTCAAGAAAGTTTGACAGAATGAGAGTGAAGAAGGGACAGACTGGAATTTCCCAGAGTGAAATTTTAATTCCAGAAGCACACATTTAAAGCTCTGGCCTTGTTCTAGAGCAGAAACTGCAGATAGTCTGTCTATCAGACCGGACTGCATCAGCAGATACTCACGTATCCAACACAATTTGCATGCCGTAACACTGGCTATGCATGCAATTGTTCTAGCTGTATTGGGGTGATAACGAGCATCTTCAAACATTTAACTACTGAAAGGTTAATTTCCTACCAGTTGTTTTTTCTCTTAAGTGTTCAATCATTGGTATTCACTTGCCATCATTTTCAAGTATGATTCTCTATAATACAGTATTTAAATACTGTACTCTAATACAGTATTTCAGAAAAATATAATGCACCTTTATAGAGATGGTACACCTGCTGCTGATAGTAGAGCCAGGCTTAAAATGATTGTAGCTCAAACAAAAGAAAATAACTCACACCAGACATTTTGTATTTACTAGAAATTTAATCTTATACTGTGAAAATAATTTTGGCTTGCAAGAAAATAGCTTATGGTGATTTTTGTAAAAAATAAAGCATTTTTAAAAGAGATCAAGCTTTCAGCTGATTCTGTGGGTAACTGCTGCTATTTCAGTTCCATGTATTATTGTGGAACCCCCAGGCTGGATCGATTTACACTGGCTCACTTGCACTGGTGGAAATGGACTTCCCCTCCCCTCCTTCCTATGGCTACCTCTCCAGCCCTCCAAAAATGATACCTGAGCTGTCAGGAGACACTGTTGACTGGCAGGAGGGAGGAACTTCAGTATTCAGGGCAGGGCAACAAATATCCTGGACCTAGCTCAATATGTATTTTTTTGCTGCAAGATAGCATGCTTCTGTTCCATAATTGTTAACAATCCAGAATGCTTTGACTATTGGGTTGTATAGAAATAAAATGCTATTGCACATCAACATCAAACAATGTTCAACAACTTATGTTAGTTACTAGTGTAAAGGTTGGCACTTGATCAAGAGTGCCACTTGTAAGATCATTAATACATAGTTCTGCATCCTCACTCGAATTATCTGAGGGAGCACCCATTTTTGTTACTCAGCTCAGGTCTTCCAGAGCAAGAATCTTGTAAATGCTCTCACCTTCTGAAGTACAGCAAGTTGTTCCAGGTATGGTATTCCATGGAACTCTTGCCAGGAATGCTCACCTAAACAAACTCTTTGAAAAAACAGTATCTTTCCTTTAATAAGCTTTTTTTTTTAAAGATACAATGAGAATTCTGGAGTAAGCCAATGAAAAGCTCATTTTGTTTCAATTTTTGTGCCTTTTGGATTATGTGAGCAAGAGTCAGAAAGTATTAAATTATTTTGTGACCAAGAACAAGGCCTACTAAGTCCCATCAGTATTTCAAAATAGGTCTTTTACACTGATTTTAGTTCTATCAAGACTGCTGCACCTGACTTGAATAGTGGAGTAAGTTCCTTTGTCAGCAGTGGTCCTACCTTGTACAAGCTGAGCTTTTTTTGAAACTGCGTTTAAAAACTGGATTTACTGCAAACTTCAGAGATTCCCATATGCACATAAGCTACATGATTTTTAAAAATTAAGCTTATGTTTTGGACTCTTTCAAAGCAACATAGTAGGATATTGCTAAAAATACAATTTGTCCATCCATCTAATCAAGTAAAAGGTTGATAGGAACATTCATTTCAAAATTACTCCTCAGATCTTTAACGTAAGCGTGTAGGTATGGACCTCTAAGGTGCCCTTCTGCAGGTGGAACCTCTAGATCAGCTAAGGATTGCACAAAACAAAACTACAAGGGTTCACATGACAATACTAACATATTTTTCTCCTTCCAATCACTGTTCTTTGAATTCAAGCTAATATTACCATCATGTTGTGACCAGTTTAAACCTCTTTATTTTGCCAGTTGCTCACTGACAGGATTTCTATTTGGCTATACAACTAGCAGCTTTCAATGTTCTATTACAAAATTATTTTCGTCTCGTTACGAGAGTATGCCACTAATGCATGTACTAATTCCTCCACATTACTGTCATAACTAAAAATTCCAAAGAACAAGTTCCTTTTTTCTGAATGAAATTTATTCCATTTTCAAAAGTGTCACTTTAATGTAGTGTATTTTTCTACAACAGCTTGCACTGTTACCCAATAGATGGCATGTGTGTTTTACACTATTCCAGAGAACAAACCCTACTCATGAAAAGGAAGACATATTGTAATCTACAGTGCAATTGCATACAATGCAGAAATCCCAGTGCCTTATTGATGCTTTTTCAGAGAATTCCTATTTTGGAAGTAAGTCTGGAAGACCAATTTCATGTAAAAATTAGCAAAAATATAATTTTGGTCCTCAACTATCTGGAATAGGAAAACATAATGCAAGAACTACAATCTGAACTTATCCATCACATGAACTAAACAACTATTACATACAAAAGTGTATAAAATTGCTTGATAAACTTTGAAATCCTGCTTCAACATACAACCATTTAGAAAATTACGTGTTATTTTAGAAAATAAGAAACTAAGAAGTCATGAATTATATTACTACAATATGTTTTCAATTTAAAATGAACTCTGGAAAATACAGGATTTTGAACACTTCATTAAATTTGATTAAATTAATTTTCTATTACTTTTAAAAACTCATTTTTTCTCTATACAGCACTAGTGACAACAAACTATCTCCAATAGAACATAATGACCTGATACTGCTTCTATACCAGTATCCACCCAAAATTATAATGTAATTTGTATCATACCCTATTTTTCCAAAACTGTATATACCACTTTTCATCAGACACTTCAGAGAGTGAGAACAGCTGGACACTTATATACATATTATTTATGAAAAAGTTAATTTACTTTCCATTAGTACAAGTTAATGAGCTAAATATAAAAATTGAAAAATATTTCATTTAAATGAATCATATAAATGCGGAAGTATTATGGAAACTGCAGGTAAAAAAGCCTATGTTGTAAAACTATCATTTCCCCCTCCCTCCTTCAAAATTATACAGTAATATACAGTTGTTACACTTCTTTAAGTGGAAGTAAAGTCTGCTAAAATAAAGAAGCATTACACTGCTGTAGCGGCAGCTTAGCCCGGGAGACTGCACCAGGGTAGGTAACTCGCACATTGGTGTTAAATGATTTTAGCAGCTTGATTCTACAGTGGCTACCACTCTGCCAGTCCTCCGAACTTCTTTCTCTTTCTTTTGAAACTTTTCTTTCTGTTTCTCCAGTTTTTCTTGTGCTTTTTTAATATCTTTAATTTTCTTCTTAAGCATTGATCGATCGTTTTGACTGCTTACTCCCAAGTTCTTTCAAAGAAAAAGTAGCATTTCATTAAATTCTAGAAAGTAGCAGTGTTTGCAACAGCAACAACAGTAGCTTAATGTGGCATGAATTTTCATGGATAAACATATTTTAGTTATATACATGTAGTAATTACCACAACAAAAATGTACAAATTATGTTTCTCTGTACATAACATAAAATTTAACAAATATATTAAAATAAATATAAATATTTAAACATGTTGAAAAGAGACTGCTGTAAGGAAAAGGATAGCTTTTTAAACACATGGGCACTGACAGAAATTTTGCAAGTAGTACAGATTAACTGTAAGAGAGCTGCCTAATATTATTTAGAGTTACTGTAATTTCTAAATACATTGCAGAGTATCCAGTGGTTGTAATATGCCTGCCTCAGTTCCATTGACTAGTGGAAACAACTGTGAATGCAACTGGAAGCTACAGCTTCCCAGCAGAACCCTGAAAAAAGCAGGTCTCCTTGAAGTAACTGTAGTTCTTCGAGAGGTCAAAGGGCTGGGCTCCTGCCGAATAATAACTGACCAACTCTGGAATCTTCCCAACTGAGCTCCACACATGCCAGCAGAGCCCATATGTGTGATGCGCAGAGACCACGAAGAAGAACTAGCCCAAATCAGTGCTTCCAGAGTAGTACAAGGCCGCAAAGTCCACTTACACAAGTTCTGCTGACTTGGCCCTCCTGAGGAAGTGCTAGTTTGAACTAGTTTTCAGGACTACTCTCTGAAGCATTAACTTTCTGTTGCATGAGCAGTATTTCCACTAATGCAAAGTTATAACTTACCACAAGGAATGTTTTGCATTTTCCTTTATATATTTAAAATAGAAGAAAAAATACTGCCCTGCCTTTCTGATCTCAATGTATTACTCAAATTGTCTTACTTCAATCAAATTTACAATGTGTGTGTGAACCAGTAAGTGTGAACAGGACTACAGAGATATGCCTGCAGTAATTACTGGGGCTGTAGGAGCTAAATAAAATATTTCACTAGTCATGGAAGTTGCTCTCAGGTATATCCGTATTTGTTGTAACTTAGTTATATCCTAAGTTAAATTCTATTTGTTTGAATGGGTTCGACTCAGATTTAGTTCTACTTTGAATAGACCCACTGAAATCATATGCTTGCAAGGTGGGGGGCTGGGAGACCCCTGGCATTCTTCAGGTCATGCTGGAGCCTCAATCCTCCTCTATGTGTCTCAACAGTATGTGCTCCAAAGTTGCATTTGTGGCCTCAGAGCTGCCACCAGGATAGAAAAGCTAAACAGAGAGCATTCTGTGGATGGAGGTCCTGCTCCAATTCTAGAATATATTTCTGAGGTCGCAGCTTGGCGTTCAACTTATCCTATGGCCACTTCGATCAAGCAAGCAGTCACAAGATTGCACCCTTAGTGAGGTATATGGTTAGAATCTAAAAAACCAAGTGCCTATTTCAAATAAGATACTTGATTATCCATGTAAGAAATATTCAAACAAGGTACTCCGTTTGTCTCTCTCAACAGTAACAAACTTCTCTATCCCCAAGCAACGTATTCCTAAATTTGAGAGAACTTTCAAATACTATGCTGCAGCACAGAGGATTGGTATTCAAAGGGAATTCATTCTGGGTACATGTGAACCTTTGAGTGGACCAAAAGTAGTGCAATGAACTGTTCAAATCCTCCCTCAATCATAAAGGTCACCAAAATGTGAATGTCACATACTAAGCTCCTCAGAGAAAGGGCGGATTATAAATTTGACTGCTAAATAAAACTTATGTGCTCACAACACATATGAAAAGCAAGTAACAGGCTTAGCTGATAGCTGGGTGTAGTATAATTTTTAACCAGCAGATGGCAACATTAGATAAGAATAGAAAGTCACTGGCTATTTTTGAACTTACCACTATACCACACTTTTGACATTCCTGCATCAACATAAGATACACTGAAAATTCTTATTCAACCAAAATAAAGCCTTTCGAGTGAACATATTTTATGTAACAGAAAGTGTAGGCTAAAATCCACTCACCTAGGAGAAAACTTCGTTGAACTCAGTGGAACTTCTCTAGGTAGACATACATACATAGGATTGTACACACTTAGCAGAAAAGTCAATCCTCAAAGTTATCTTACATTATAAACCTGAGCAAGCAGTTTCCTGAGAGGTCCCCCTGAGTCCAATGGGATTAATTCTTTAGTAAGAATGCAGGAGTGCAGCCATAAAGGATGTGTACTGCAATCTTCATCATTTGGAGCTATGCAACTTTCAGATAAAACCATGCATCCCTTTGTCTTAAGAGATCAGGGAGAATGTAAAGCCAAGCTAAGGCTTCAACCCAAAAAAGGCATAGAAGAAAACTAGAAACCACCCATCCTTTTAAAATGAATCTTTTATCTAGAAACCAAAAGTAAGGAAACAAACTCAAAATTAATAGGAAAACAGAAAGAAAAAACAAATAGTGCAGTTTTGCCGTAAAGGTATTTTCCTGTTTTAACTAGTAACTTTTTTTACCCTTGGCAGCCCCACATTTTCCACATTCAGAACTATTTCCAGGATTAAGGAATGGAAGTAGAGAGAGTAAACAAAATATATTAGTGCCCTGCAAGAGTCTATGCTTCCCACCAAAACTTCTACTGATCTCAACCAGAGCGTGAATTCAGTCTGGGACCCAGCAAGCTTACCTTCAACTTGTCACTGTCAAGCAGCATTAACTGTTGTCCATCTATATTCTTGGCTGTGAATTCTGTGATGTACTGCTCCATGTTCATTCCTATCAACCAATGGCAAACTTGTTGTGTTGTCCATTCAGAAATGGGTCTGCTATGCCACTGGTTTTGTTTCCCTGTACCTGATGGTTCATCATCTAGAGTCTGACCAAACAAGATAGGGGTTATAGACATTTAAATAACTGATTTTAATATTTTAAAATAACTAGCATTCTGATGTTTAAAATCCTCAGACTTTCACAGAGATCTGGTTTTTCAAAATCTATGTCCATGTTCAAAGAAAACTAAGTAACTAGACCTTTGAGAATGGAACCTGTGTCCCAGTCTCATATTTTAGATTAGCATATTTTGTGAGAGATGAAATTTTTACTATGTTTTCATCTTGAGTGCAGCAGGTCTTCAGTGTGCAAGTGGGACTGCTAGGTTAGATGTTTTTATTGGTTATTCTACTGTGGTTTTTACTGTGTTTTAGTGCATTGTTTTATTCCTGTTTTAAATTATGAAAGTAAGCCACTTTGAATGCCATTTTTCTTTGTAAAAGGATGTGGCACAAAATAAATACAGAATCCTGAACATCTTCATGCAAATGTAGACTCTAGTAAGTAGATAATGAAGTGTTACCATCCAAAATTCTGGCCAGCTATAATATTTTAGGCACTTTTTGAGAACTTATGGCTATCATCGCTCACTCTATGACCAAACTGACCAAATGTCAGAATGTTTACAATAACTTCTGGTTTTCTAGATGCAGGGCTCTGTATTTGTCATATATAAAAAAGTCCACTTCTAATACTGTTTTACCATACATGCACTATGAAATCCCCTTGAAGCCAAAAGTAACCTAATGCAAAAGGGAAGCTAATGACTACTAATGAAATCCGGTTTCTGAGTGAGCACTATACTAGAGGCAAGGGGGGGAAAGCAGGCTTTGTTTCTACTGACTTGGGCAGATGCTGTCTGTTGCTGAACTCATTTGTGACCTTGAGACTCAGTTATGAAAACTGAACAGATAATGTATGCAAAGAATTCCACCTTGTTTAGATGTGTACGTAACTGCAAAAAGCAAAGATGATATATCAGTTATATTTTCACTGGAGTCCAATGGTTTGTCAATACTAGTTCTCTGAGAACAGGCAGGTAACTACCACCCACCTCCCCCCCTTTTCTGTCACTATTATGCTTTCCAAACCTAGAAACAACTGGCCATTTGTTTGTCTCAAGTTAACATCATGCTATCTTTGCAAAAGGCTGTATTATTTGTTTATTATTCAGTGTCATACACTGAGAACACAACTCGTTCAGTATGCCAAGAAGTCAAGTTTTACAATACAATTTAAGACTCTGTTCAGTATCCTTGTTTGTGGGACTTCATTATTTGCTCAGATCAACATAACTGCACCTGCCATAAGAGCTATAATAAAATGAATTCTATTTTACCTATACCATTATACTTCCAACTCCAGCTGTGACTGGTTTGACAAAAAGTGGTATCAGATCAACATCTTTCCTCTTAGACTTCCATTTTATTTGCTAGATAGTGTCAGTGCCTTGTGTATTTAAGAACAGTATTCTGTTTTGTGTGGTCCTTTTGACTCAAAACGTATTTCTACCTTGCATTCACCATGTGGTAAAAAATATGGATGGGTTCCAATTTAAACACAACTAAACTATACATGGATATGGAATAAAACACTACAGGTTACTTTAAACTTTTTGCTGCAAGTATTTGTCAGGCTGAGAGGAAAATGAGTCCCTTTTTCAAAATGAAAGTAGCTTACATAACTTCAAATAACCTCTCCATCGCTCTTCAGCACTTCAGACTACTTTCAACATAACCTTAATGTACTGGTTGTATGAACTTAAAAGCAAAATAACTTTCAAAAATGTAATATAAACAAGGCATTGGCAAACAGAGTCTATGAATACCGAACACCTCTTTCCTTTTTCATGTCCAAGCATCAAAAGACTGAATTTTTAAACATGTTAAGTTAGTATGTTCAGAATATGCAAGTAGTCAAACACCACGATACTGCAGATTATCATAAGGGCTCTAACTCATCCTTCCTTCCAAGATAACACATATTTTTTCTACAGATGAAGCAAAGATCAACTCGATGATAGCCACTGCTGGTTCCAGGATTCTGAGGGTCCTCTCACAAGACACCTCCTTCACAGGGTCAACTTCTTTGCTATGATCACCAGCCAGAGTCTCAGCTTTTTTCTCAGCACTGCGACCACCTGCTTGACTGACAGGCAAAGTGCCAGTGATTAAGTAGTGGTGATGGTAGGAAAAGCAGCAGCGTCTCATGTTCCTCCTCCTTACCACCACTGCCTCCACCGTTTCCACTTAAACTATGCCTCTGACACTTAGTGCAGGCCAACTTTCCAGGCAAGGCACCTCTGCCCCATCTTCGCCTTCCCTGGGGATTCAGTAACTTGTTTGGAGTGGCTCTCAATGGACCAAACACTCCCCAGTCTACCAATATTGGCTTCCAGCCCTTCCTTTTCACAGACAGATGACAAGGCAGCCATGGTGACTTGTGCAGAGCCATCCCTGCATCTGTGCCTGATGGCCAAGGCCAGACCATAATATAGAGGGACTGTTTTATCCCCCACACTATCCCAAAGGCAAGGCATGCTTGAAGGGGAAGCAGCCAGTTTTGGGTGAGAGGTACAGCTTCTTTCGAGAAAGGACAGCACCTACAGCTTCTCCTCATCACTACGTATTATAGTCAAAAAGACATTTCAGTTTAGAAATGAGTAATAAGGTATCTGTATTCCGGCAGATGCATCATCACATACTATTCACAGAAATATGAGCAGGATGCTCATACGAAGTACACTGCACTAGCTGGTACAGCTATTCATCAACAAGCAGTTTTCTTGCTTATCAGGAATCTATTTATAATATACTTGATTTACAGAATCAGTTTTTTCTTCAGGAGTGTCACCAAACATTTCTAGAGGACAGGTTTTTAAAATGTACACTTTTACATGGCTAAAGTTAAGTCAGTGGCTAAGTATTTAAAGAGCAATTTTCTAAACAGCATTAGTTCAGGAAATCACCCTAAAGTATAGGGTCTCACCAATTATTATGTTTAACTTTCCCTTAAATATTAAGATTTTATATTAAATATAAAAAGGAATACAATTTAAAAGTTAAAGCTTCAATCCCCCCCCCCCCCTACATCTCTTCACACATTACCCAAATATCCCATGCAGGCTGGGGCAACCAAGGCATGTAGAGGGCAGGAAGGGAAGGAGACGTGCACTCATGAGACACTGCTTGTAAACCTAAGTATGAAGGGAATTGTGCACTAATACAAAGCGCCTCAGTTTAAAGATTCAAAGCTTGTTCTATTTATACAAATAAAAGAACAAACAGTAAGTCTAGCAGGGATAGTTAAACATTACATACAATATATTGAACTAAACGTTGGTAAGGGGCAAATAATGCTTTAAAGTTGTGATCCTTTTCTAGGCATGTATTAACATTAATCTATACAAATATTTAAGGTGCAGTGGTAATCTACTGTCTTCACTTTAAACAAATCCAAATGCCATAATGTAGTCTCAATGGTGACATCAACAGTATGTGCAGACACCCTGAAACTCACCTCAGTTGAAGAAAAGGTTAAAGTCTGTAAACGCCCTGAAAGATTTGACTCTGGCACTAACCCTGACAGATCACAACTTGGCTTACTATGGTATGAATCATCTATGACAATTCTTCTCTGCAAACAAGTAAAAAATATTGTTTAGTTAAATTACCCCTCGGAATAATAAATCACAAGGAGACAAAGCAACTAAACAAATTAAATGTACCTAATCATTTTGTAGCAAGTTTGAGCAAACTACACAGTCATTTATATGCCATTCTCTCCCGAGTTGAGATATATAAGCCTCAGGTTCCTTCCAACTGGTCTGTCACACCTATTTGTATCTTGCAAGATCTTCAAGTTGCTCAAGGTGTTTTTTTTATCTGATTCTTGTTTCAGGTTGAGAAGTAATTTCTATGCTAGAGTCAGTCCTAGTCCAGAATTTTTTTCCACTCTTAGTTAATAGACAAGTCAGATAATGGCAGGTATTTTATTATTTAAGAAAAAAGACTATAGCCAGATATTTAAAATCAAAGAGCCCACCCTCCTTAATGAATATGCTTAATTACATAGTCATTATCATGGCAAGCACACATGTAGTATCTCTATTTCTGATGCACTGACTCAACCACTTCATGTTGATAGCATAATTCTTTTCACTTCACAACTCCCACTACTGATTTCATTAAAAAAAAAAATCCCTGATTTTTTAATTCTCTTACTAGGCAATTGTCCTCAGTAGTACAACAATACTGTCATTCAAATAGAAAAAAAATACAAGTAAAATCTGTAAGACATACTACTACTATGCAAGGCGTAGATTAATATGCATGGTTAGTACTTTAAACTGGGTATTCAAAACAGTCTCTCTTGTAGCATCATGTTACAAGTTAAAGGTAATACTGAAGAGTACTTTCACATTTCCCTAACCTTGCATGTTGAATCCAAGTATCTTAAATTTGAATTCCTTAATGACATGAAGGGAGGGGTAAGAAATGCAGACAGGTTATATTTTGGTCTTAATATGCTGAAAAATATAGATTAACATAGTGGCGGCATTGACAGAAGTTCAGATTTCCTGGATTTCTATTAAACAATATTATGCAATATTGTCCAGTCTAAGCACAAAACATTCCAAAAGGCTAGCACAGTGTAGGCAACATGATGCCCATGGCACCAATGTCGCCTGAGGCTACTTTCTTGGCTCAGGCTAAAGTGCCCACCCCTCCCTCTAACAATTTTAAGTGTAACATTTTACTAGCCACTGGGGCCCCTATGAAATAGGTTTCTGTTTGTTCTAAAAACTGTAAGTTCAAAGGAGTGTTTTAGCCTGTTGAGATTCAGACCCTACCTCCACCTTATACTCAGTCTTTTGGAAAGGTTATAGGTGCTTTGTCATACCTCCTATACCTCCATTTTGTGATGGCACCCAGGGCATTTTCTCAAGTTCCCCAATGTGCCTATGGCCTACCTTGGTCTAGCAGAATAATATGTATTTAACTGTTTTTCACTGTCTTAATGAAACAATGAAAGAATGCATTACGT